AAAAAAAAAAAAAAAAAAACATAAATCCGGGAAGACTGACATATCTCGGAGGATTATTTGATTCTGTCAGGCGGACTGGGAAGCTCAGAATATGTCCGAGATCGCCTTCAGCAAGACTTGGTGGCACGACCGCATCCTTGCGCTGGCAACCTCAAAATCATCCAAGCTCCTGACCCTCAGCTCGTGGTTGTCAAAGGACTACTCCTTGACCGCATGCAGAGGCTCGATACAGGGATCAACTCGGTGCTTCTCACGCGCAAAGCGAGAGCGAGCTATGGCGTCATAGGGATGGTGAAGTATAACGCCGAGAAGCATTTCAATCAGGATATCTACGAGGACAAGTTCGACGGACAACGATATGCGTTGAATCAAATCAACTGGCTCATCAAGAAGGTAAGCAGGCTTACTTGAAGTGAGCGTCCCGTCTTGCCATGTTACTTAACTGACCGGCTTGTCAGGGGGACAACGTCGATCCAAATGTGCCTGTTGCCTCTCCTTATACCTACAACATCGACTCTAAGAAGAGTATACGCGAATGGGACTGTACATTCGTGATCTCCCAGAGCGACCCGGCATTTCTACCTACTAGTGCAAAAGACAGTAAGCAATCCATTGACTCCTTCCCGGTATGAGGAAGTGTTCTGAGACCAGGCTACACAGTCGCAGCTAGCAAACTCTGTACTGTCAAAAGTAACCTAGCTGGCATAAACGAAGACTCCTTAACGGTCGAGAAGAAGCGAGTTTGGTATGGCTTGAGAAAGAAAAAGTGGTTCGTCTGCGAATTCGAAGTACGTGCTATCGTAGCCCCTGCCGACCTACGCTTCGAGCTGTGGTTCGACGGGCAGAGATTCTCGGGTAACCACGAGCCCGTCAGCGTGACTTGGGAGGAAGAAGGTACTCAGCTAGGAAACCCATGAGTGGGGGAGAAGAGAGAAGGAAGAACGCCTATAGAACGAAGCCGTGCCTGTAAGCGTAGATGTAACGACCGATCAAAATCTATAGACCAAGTGTGGTAAGATGGCCTTGAAGTACATGTTCGTCATCAGCATTTGAACATTACCATTATTTCCATCAACGTGGCTCGACTATGAAATTCTCCAAGTGCCAATAGTAGCTTGTCGAGTCCACTAGATACTTACCATATGGGTCTAAGACACGCGTCTGACGATTCTCCAAAGCCCTTCCGTTCCCAAAATAGCGCACAACTCGGTAACTTCCCAACGGCCGTTGAAAGGGCCCACCGATGGCCGAGATTTGGTGGCCACATCTATGCAAATGGCAAAGTAGTATACTATGCATGTCGTTAGTTATAATGGTACGAACTGTTCACTGGAATCGGCTGAAATGCCGAAGTAGTCGGTATGCGTGACACCTTAGTAGACCATATTCGCCGTTCTACGGGGGAAAAAAACATTGCCAGATAGCCGTAATGCGTTCGTCTCATCGTTGTAAGCTTGAAGCGATATTTGATTACGTGCGCGGTCACTATGCCCAGGATAATTGAAATTTGCACTTGGGTGGCGTATCACTATGTCTTGCATGTCAGTTGCAGCCGGCGGCGCCATCTGGGATCGATGCCGTGGGAAGAGACTGCCGCAGAGACCGAAAGTCTTTTCATTGGACTCCCTGACATCTTCCAGAAACTTTTCTGGGCTGATGCGACCTGGAGTGCAGCGTGTCTCACGGTTCAAAGTCCCGAAGTGTGCTGCATGTTCGATCCAGTGGCGACCTGACAGCGGCATCCCGGCAAGACCGTGAGGCTCTGGCGGCTGGCTAAGGTACCTATGGAGGTATGTAGCAACACTTTTTGCTTCTGCGAGCGAGGATGGCTGGCGAGTTGCAATACGAAGTGGCTTTGTCTCTCCGAGACATTCAAAACCAAAAATGCGAAGAGCCCTTGAGAGAGGTGATATGTCTTGCAGTGCAAAAATAGAAACGGTCTGGGCGATTGGGGATACATTTGTTCGAGGATCGGCACGTGGATTAAGAAAGATTTCGATGCAAAGCACCGACGATCTGAGGTCGGCTCAGGGCTCCGGCCTCAGGGGTGCCCAATTGGCTGTGGTCATGCTGTGAATTTCCTGATCTGGATAGGTATGAATCTCAGGTTTGGAGCACCACGGAAGATTTAGCAAATCCCTCTTCATTTCCTGTTCCTGAAATATACATCAGCCTTAGGTAGTCGATGCCGAGATTCTTGCGTCATCTCTCTGGCAGATATTGAGGTAAGGTAAGCACGAACCTCGTGTACACGTATTATGGAATTATGGGCAAGCGCGACTCGCCATCCTTTTTCGTGATCGGAAAGGGCGGCCATTGCAATACGAAAAAGCGACACTTAGACGCCAGTAATGGGCCCTTGCCCCTTTTGGCCGTCTTTCTTTTTTGGCAAGAGCTTACGACTCCAAGGGATCAAATCTTCCCTTTGTCAATTGTACACACCTTTCACGCATAGTAGGTACTTGGAATTGAGGAGCGTCAGCTGTAAGCAAAAAAGAAAGACGGGGAGAGTTGCCAGAATCAGGCCAGGTGGCCGATGCTCGAAATTTCCACTGACGGCACAATATATTCTGTTTAAGCAGCAGCAGCATGGTAGTAGGTAGTGAGCATCTTATGTAAAGTAGGCAGTCGTCATCAGCTCTTTATTCAATGCATCCAATGCAGGCCCGTTAGTGTCTCAATACCCGGTAGTTGCGACCTTCCAAGCCTCTTGTCCTTTTCTTGTCCCTGCAGTGGTTTTACTCTACACTACACAGCATAGTCAGGTCTCACCACCTGCCTCCCTTCACCACCACAGTACTCTACTTGTACCTCCCTTGGACTAATTTGACTCATTTGGCTTGCGTGTCAACAGAGCGGCCGCAGACTGACAACATCGACGCATATCAGAGGCTTCTGGTACTACTTTCGCAGTAACAGTAGCAGCAATAACAGCATCGGTCAGGGTCAGGGTCAGGGTCAGGGTCCTGGTTCAATATCTCCACACCTCCCCCCTCCGCCCTCCACATCTGCAATGGCCGAGTGGATCGTGGCACCAAGAGTCTGCCTCACCGCCTGCCCTAACGCTATCCATTTTGCGCCGATCAGCGACACGAACTGTGTGGTTTCAGGGGGTCGAGAGTCTCCAGCTCACTCTGGCGTGACTGGTGACTGGCAAGACCGGGACACGACCAGCGCACTGACGGCTGATGCTGCCCTAAGCTCGACACTGCCGCCCGAGTTTCCAAGATATTCAGAGGCGCTTTTCCCTCGTAATATTGCTCGGACATGATGCAAGACCACTTCCCATGCTGGCTTGCAGAAGATCACTTTATCCGCGTATTTACGCACATTTATTCTTCCCAATTGTTCCCGGGAACCCTCGACCTTCCCCGCAACCTTTGCCGCCCTGGTCGATTCACCCGTCCCGAAAAACGAGCTCTGCCGTCCCTGCTTGCTATAAGTCGGGACATCTGATGCCGCCTCTGTAGCCATTGAGTGGGCTGCATCGCGAGACGCCACGGCTGAAGGCCATTGTCTTATAGCTGCTCGCCTGTCCCATCGCCGAGGCTGACTTTTTCTTCTCCATTGCCCTAAAGAATCGCCATTGTCTGAGACTACTACGCCCGAGCTAGCGTTGCGGCGTCGCTGGGCTTGCATACAGCTAGGTGGAGAGCCCGGACTCCCTCTCTGCACACCGACCACACCTCTCAGCATCCCCCGCCCAGTCAAGGGCTCAATCCTCAAATACATTGTGTACACAACTACGCTGTGGCCATAGCTGCTTATGCACGGTTCATAAGCTGTCATATATCCCTTTCTTCTCGACGCGAAGAGTATCCCAATCAATTCCAGTTCCTTCCCCTCTGCTTCCTCCTGAGCATATATCACCACCGCTTCTCCACGCGAGCCACGAGACCGATTTCCTTCCGATCAACGACTTCATATGCTTGCCTACCCTAGGATACCAGATATATTGGTCTTGCACTAATATGAGCACGGCTCTTGCTGGTATTTGATCAAGGAACGGAGGTGTTGGCAAATCCCGGGAACGGGTCAGCCGGACTCATGGCTTCATATAAATACAACTCGGTCGACGAGGACAAGTTCGACGAAGAATACTTTGCCCGTACCTACAGGCCGCTTTCAAATCTACCAACTCCTCCACCGTCATCTAGAAATTCTTCTGCCGTTCAAAGTCCCATCGCTGGCTTGGACGATGGCAAATATCTCGATCCAAATTTGTTGGGTAAGTTTTCTGCAATTTCTGTCTGGTGTCTACTTTATGCTAAAAGTATTTACAAAGGGGCGTCTATTCACCTCGTCAACTTGCTTCCCCCATCAGCTTCCCTGGTCACCCCTTCGGTAGCTCTAGTCCACACAATCCTCGATCGAGCCAGGCTACCTCAAGATATCATAGCTTTGGCAGTCTGTATCATGGATACTCTCGACTCAAAGTTCTCCTTGAACTGGAGATTAACCTGTCCGTTACGTTGCGAGTCCTTGTTAGGTTCTTCAAAGCGGCACACCATTCCTGCGGGAACAGTCTCGATTGAGCAGTTGCATATTGACTCTGTCAATCCTGAGGTTATCATCTTAAGCTCCCTCATGATTGCTTTCAAATTTTTGGAAGATTGCAATGAACCAACACGATACTATGCGTCGGAATGGGGACAAGGCGTGTGGTCTTGTGAGCAGATCAATGCTACAGAACGGTGCATTATGAATTGCCTCGAATATCGAATCCTACCGCTGTGGGACAAGGATCTAATCGATTATGCTCTCGAGGATATGAGAAGAGCCGGCAAACAAGCCGAACAGCAAAGAATTAAGGCATCAAGTTACGAGACCGCCCGTCCTTCGAGCAGCCCAATGAGCTCAGGGCAGGCCGTAGTGGGACTTGGTCTTCAGCTCACACCGGCTGACACGCCGACTGAGGAAGTGCCCTATAGCTTACTCTTGTCTCCGGTTATTCGTACAGCAGACGTTTTCACCATGGCTTCTACGAAAGTGCAAGAATCTCTGTATATCCCCAGAAGAAAGACGGTTGCTTCACGATTGGAAGGTCTTATCGATGGGATGACACATCCTTAACACTGGCTTGCTTTACGACTATCATCATATAATGGCGTTAGGGTTTGAGCGCATTGCCTTGCTTATATCCTTATTTTAACCGACGATTCACAATCGGGGCGCAGGACTCAACAGATTGCAATTCCGCAGAGCATTGGTGCTTTAGGCGTTCTTATGAGAAACAAATATATTGCTCCTTTCATTCATGACGAGGTGGAATCAAGGCGCTTGCACAGCATGAAAAACTTATACCCAGTATCTAATCATAGTATAGTCTATTCTAGCATCCGCGGCATAAGCGACAGTCGCTGTTGAGCAATAATATTAAGTTCAGGCTCAAAAGTATTGCTTTAAAGACCTCGAAGACCATTTCCCAGTTCACCTTTCTCTGCAAGACAATTGTATGACATTGTGATATTGTATAGAATATTTCAGTTCGAAGCACCACTCTCAACGCCTTCCATGCAAAGACTCTCTGGGTTGAAAGTAGAATATGGTGCCTGCAAAGCACCCCTTTAAGAATGCACTCCCATCTCATGCTGCACGGCATAACATCATGTACTTTGCTGTCTCTACGGGCTTAACCTCTCAAGCGTCCACTTTGCCGCTTCGCCTTCGCCCTCCTTCTCGTACACAAACCTGTCGTGCAAGCGGCTCTCGCGGCCTTGCCAGAACTCCACCCGCTCCGGGACGATGCGCAGGCCGCCCCAGAACTCAGGCACGGGGATCTCCTCCTGGCCCTTGAAGCGCTCCTCCGTCTCGCGCACCCAGCGGTCCAGCTGGGCGCGGCCGTCGTCGCCCTCGACCGCCGGGTCCGGGCGCAGCACCTGGCTCTGGCGGCTCGACCAGGCGCCGATGCGGCTGCCGCGCGCGCGCAGGTCAAAGTAGGCCTGGCTCTCGTCGCGCGGGAGGCGCTCGGCGCGGCCCTCGACGCGGACCTGGCGCTCCTGGGCCTCCCACCAGAAGACGAGCGACGCCCAGGGGTTGGTGGCGAGGTCGGCGGCCTTGCGGCTGGTGCCGAAGTTGGAGTAGACGACGAAGCCGGTGGCGTCGAGCTCCTTGAGGTAGACGACGCGCGAGGAGACGCGGCCGCTCGGCAGCGCCGCCGTCGACAGCGTGCACGTCTCCGGGTGCCCGATCTGCCCGGAGCGCTGCGCGAGCGTGAACCAGCTGTGGAACTGCGTCACGGGCGACGCCGGGTCGAGGTCCGCGCGCCGCAGGCCCAGCAGCTCGTGCTTGGTGAACTGCTCGGCCTGCGTGTTGACGGCCGTGCCGGCGGGGGCGACTATGAGGCGCACGGGGTGTGAGCTGCTGATGCTGATGCCACTGGTCGTGGTGTTGGGGGCCTTGAGTTGGGCAGAGAGCTGGGCCAAGCGCTGCTTTGCGGGCATGGGAGGATTTAAGTGTAATTGAGATGCTTGACAAGAGGTGGGTAGGACTAGGCTATTCCCAAAGATTGTAGGGCTCAATAGAATTGAGTACCCCGGGGTTGTAATTGCTAACTTCGAATCACTGGCTCTCACTTGAGTAGGGGATTGAGATGTAATGAGCCAAAAGGGGCGCAGGGGCAGCAGTAATAGTAACACTCAGGGTTGAATCTCGTGACACTTACAGATGAGTTTGGACGAGTCTGCTTGGTGGAGAGCCATCTTTCTAATAGTCGGGGCGAGGCGAGTGAGGCGAGTCGTAGAGGTAGCGTAGCGCATTGAGTCTCACGACTATGTTCTTCGAGTCGTGAGATGTAGGCCCTTTGAGAAGAGGCTATCTGTATTACAAGAAACCTCCCTCTAGTCGAGCGATTCGATGATTTTGAGGACGAGAGGATTTTCGATGCCTGGAAGTAAGCGGCTTCTAATTGCCAGTAACAAGGCGTTAATTCATCCAGTCCAGAGAGTGAATACTGAGGCAAGTGCAATGAATGACAAGGCTGAATGTAGAAGGCCGACTCTCATGACCGTCTCATGACGTTTGCATCTAGCGTGCGCCGAATTCGCAAATCAGATGAGTCCTCTCTTCTCGCAGCTCAACCTGCCTTCTCGCCCCGGAAAATGGCCTATTGCTACCGCCACCCACAGTGGCCGTTCCGACTCGGGACCGCTATTCTCACACTTTCGGGCGGCAGCGCTAGGGCTGTTCTTAGTGGAGCAGCGATTACTCATTGAGACACGAAATAAACGGTAAGACACACTGCACGGAAGACGAATTCTGAACGCCACGAAATAATCGTTTGAATTATACATAAACGTACGTACACAACGTACAGACCCAATACCCAAACCCAAACGTACGGAATACACGTACGCATGCCTACACATAACGCCCTGTAAATGCTATACACGTACGTACATAACGTACTTCATGCTGGTATCATACTCATATAGATATCCCCAGAATCATTCACTCATAATAGAGGTTCGCCTGTGCTAACTTTGATGTTCTAACCTTTCGCGTGGCCTTTTACGTAACTTTATATCGGTTGATGATGATGTTGCAGTCTTCGGTGAGAAGAAAAAGCAGAAGGAATGACAGAGAAACGAAAAAATGCTAACGGAAAGATCAACAACTTTTCTATCCCGTCCCGGTACAAATAATCAAGCAGATCTTGACAATCTGGTAGATGTGTAAACGAAGAATGAAAAGGAAATCTCTCTATGAAGACATGACAAGAGCCAAGAGAGCCATTCTCGTGTAGAGACCGTATCTCATCTGCACATTGTGTTAGTCTGGAAGTGCCCATGCACAAGCGCAAGGGGATAAACAACATACCTGTCTGAAATATGCCGCCCTCTGGTCAAAGTCCACCTCCTCCGCAATCTCATCGTTCCTAGGCAGAGGATGCATGACTACCATCGAGCTCTTCGCGTTCTTGAGTGTAGCATTGTTAATGACATATGATCCCTTGACCTTCTCATACTCCGCCTTGCTTGGGAAGCGCTCTTGCTGCACACGAGTGCAGTACAGCACATCGCTCCTCGCCAGAATCTCATCAGTGAGCGTCTCAGACTCGCAGAGGAGCTGTCCAGACGCGATAAGTTGCTCCCGGACCTTGGGCGGCAGGGCTAGAGAATTCGGTGAGACCAGCTGCACCTGCACCTGGTAATGTCGCAGAAGATACACTAGGGAGTGTACTGGGCGACCATAGAGGAGATCTCCCAAGAATGTGATTGTCAAGCCTTGCACAGTTCCAAGTTCCTCACGAATTGTGAAGAGGTCGAGGAATGCCTGGGTTGGGTGCTCCTTTGAGCCGTTTCCTCCGTTGATGACGGGGACGGGGCAGAACCTCCGAGCGACGTCCACGGACTTCTCATCAGGGTGACGGAGTACAACAGCATCTCCGTAGCATGCGAGGGTCCTCAGAGAGTCCTGAAGGGTCTCGCCCTTCTGGACTGAAGAGAATGAGGTTGCAACCGCGACAGTCCTTCCTCCAAGGCGCTGCATAGCAGCGTCAAATGAAGAGGATGTACGCGTAGAGGGCTCGTAGAACATGGTGCAGAGTAGGCGGCCAGAAAGGACGTTCAAGATGCCCTCACGCTGAACACCCATCCGCATCTCCTGTGCGACAGTGAAAAGGAGATGCAGGTCTGTTCGGGTGTATTGTGTCACGGAGAGCACATGAGCATTCTTGAATGATGATGGTCCAGCAAGCAAGTCCTGGAGTGATGAGCGGACAGGCGGATGCACTTGTAGAGCAGGGCCAAACTCCTCCGTAACAGACCTTCTCGCTGGGGGAGGGAGGATTCCAAGGGCTGTATCGAGCGTCTTAGGCTTCGCGAAAGACCTGGAAGACGAAGCAAGAAGTGACTGGCGTCGTCCGCCAAAGGGGCTATCCGGTATTTGAGGTGATCCCTTGATCAGTGGCGACGACGGCAGTGGCGGCAATGCTCCATGAGTTGACATGTCCTTGCCTAGAGGCGGCTCATCAAGAAGTTGTCCATCCAAGCAGACTACCTTGTCCTGCAAGGTAACTCGCTGAACAGCTCCTCGCATGACGCGGCCAGCAAACGGAGTCCAGGCACCGCTATCAGAGACAGTGTATGGGCGCTCAATCTCCACTTCAACAGATGTACCGACCTGGTCGTGAAGTTCGAAAATCTCCACTGGCTTATCATGCAGGCGAGTCTTGATGTCCTCAATGGTCAGCTTGCCCTCCGAAACTGATGTCAGGAGTAGAGGCAGAGCATCGGCGATACCGATTGACAAATCCGCATTCTGACCCATGGTGCGAGCAAGCTGGTATGGCAAGCTGCCGATGGAGAACACATCAATGCTGTCCAAGTGTTGCCACAAAGCCGTTTGATCTTCGATCGTTGGCAGCAACTGGCAACCTGGGAAGTCCTTCTGAGAAAGGTAGAGCGAGTAGATTGAGACATCGCAAGTGACCTTGAGACCCTTCTCTTTGCTCAGCGCGATGAGTTTGATGTCATCCTTTGTGGATACCGATGTGACGTGGATGCGCCTATTGTGCAGGCTAGCCAGGAGCAAGATGGATGCAAGATCAGTCGTCTTCGCATCGGTGATGATAGGCTTATGCGTTGGCCAGGCATCAAAATGAGCAGTCACAGCAGCCACCTTGCTGATGTTGTCGGACAGGTGGTTGAAGGGAATGAAGAGAGATCCCACTTCACCGGCCACATGGCTGATCTGATTAGCGTTCGTCGAGGTAGCTGTAACCGAGAGGTTGAAGTCACAGTACGCGCCACGTTTGCCATTTTGCTGGGCAATCTGCAGGCTTCGCGCGTCGGTGATAGAGCCTTCGACACCAAGGGGCATGACCCTGATCATTCCGAACCCAGCAGCGATCGAGGCCCTGGTGATGCTCTGCAGATCTTGGCTCCTGTCGGAGACAATGCCTGGGACGAAGGCGGCAATGTTGACGAGACCAGGGAGAATAATGGTGCGATGGCTCGTCTGGTAGTCTCGAACGCTCACATCAAGCTTGAAATACCGAGCAAGAGCTTCAACAAGGATTTTGGCGTTCTTGACATTTGTGACCAGTGGAATTTGGTAGTCGACAGCCATTCTTCTTGTTTGGTATCCCTTGCTCATGTAATTTGCGGGACGGCGATATTTGTTGTTCGATGGGAGGTTGATGTAGAGATCGATCATATTCTTGGCAAGATGCTGGGTCAGTGAGAACTCTGACTTCTGATCGTCATCTTCCTTGCCAAGAACCTCAAGGTACTGCACAGGGATGTTGTGCTCCTGCAAGAAATCGGCAGTTCCTGCAGTAGCGAAGAGCTTGTAGCCCATCTTCTGCAACTTAGCAACAGACGGCAGCATCTCCTTCTTGTCCTTGTACGATCCAATGGACAGCAGAACATTGTTCTTTGGGATCTTGAATCCAGTTGCCATCAAGCCCTTGAGGTAGGCTTCGTACTTGTCGTTTCCAAAGCAGGCGACCTCACCTGTCGAAGCCATTTCTACTCCGAGAACCGGATCGGCGCCTGACAGACGCGAGAAACTGAACTGAGGAACTTTGACACCAACGCTGTCCGCAGATCGCTCTATTGCTGGATAAGCTTCGAACGGAACACCCATGATAGCCTTGGTGGCCATCTCAATGAGGTCTACACCCATGACCTTTGAGACGAAGGGGAATGAACGAGATGCTCGGACGTTGCATTCAATGACCTTGATATCGTTATCCTTTGCAATAAACTGGATATTGAAGGGACCAGTGACATTGAGGGCAGCGCCAATCTTCCTTGTAGCCTCCTCAATGCGCTCAATTGTTGTCTTCTCCAGATCCTGAGGCGGCAGGATCAAAGTCGCATCACCGGAATGCACGCCTGCATTTTCAACGTGTTCCGAGATGAAGTGGCCGACCATTCTACCATCATGTGCGACAGCATCCATCTCAATCTCCTTGGCATTCTCGATGTACTTGGTAATCACCACAGGATGCTCCCTAGAAACATCCGCAGCTTGCTGCAAGTATGATTCAAGATCTGCCTCTGAGTAGACCGTGTTCATGGCGGCACCTGAGAGGACATAGGAAGGTCGTACAAGCACGGGGTATGACACGGACTTGCAGAACTCCTTTGCCTCTTCGAAGCTGGTCAATTCCTTCCAGGTTGGCTGATCGACATCGATTCTGTCAAGCATTCGAGAGAATTTGTAACGGTTCTCTGCAGTGTCAATCATCTCTGGAGATGTCCCGAGAACCTTGACTCCAGCACGGAAGAGGTTGAGTGCGATGTTGTTGGGGGTCTGACCACCCATGGCACCGAGAACTCCACTGGCTGCCTCCATTTGATAGATATCAAGTACAGTCTCGATCGTGATGTTCTCAAAGTAAAGCTTGTCCGCCTCGTCATAATCTGTGGATACGGTCTCTGGGTTATACTGTTTGAGCCATGTTAGTAGTGGTATGACAAAAGTAGTCAGACGAAAGTAGCTGAGAATGAAATCAAGTGACTCACATTGACCATGATTGTCTTGAAGCCTGATTCGCGAAGAGTGCGAATTGCTCTGACAGAGCACCAATCGAACTCGACCGATGAGCCGATTCGGTAGACTCCGGAACCAAGGACCATGACTCCGTGATCATCGAAGCTGACATCGTGCTCTGTGGCGTTGTATGTCAAGTAGAGATAGTTGGTCATGGCAGGGAACTCGGCAGCAACGGTATCAATCTGTTTTACGAAAGGGGTGATCCCAGCCTCCAGACGCATCCGACGAACAGCCAATTCGTTTGAGCTCCAGAAGTTGGCCAATTGTCGGTCAGAGAAACCCAGCCTCTTCGCCTGGAGTAGAAGGTCAGGGTGGCCAACCATCTCTGTTGTGTTGAAGTTGCGCATCTTCCTGCCGAAATCACTCAAACCCTTCAACTTGTTCAGGAACCACTTGTCGATCTTGGTCATCTCCCAAATCTTATCGACGGAGTATCCTTGAGCCATTGCGTTGGCAATTGCGAAAAGACGTTGATCCGATGGCGTCTGGAGCTCATCATCGATCGACATCAGGGCCTTAGTCTCACCAAAGCCCAAGTTGTGGAAGTCAATTGCACGAATTGCTTTCTGAATGGCTTCCTCGAAGCTTCTACCAATGCTCATGACCTCCCCAACGCTCTTCATAGAGGAGCCGAGTTGAGTTGACACTCTGGTGAATTTCTTGAGATCCCAGCGAGGCATCTTCACTACAACGTAATCCAAAGACGGTTCGAAGCATGCACAGGTTGACCTGGTGACCAAGTTGGTGATGTCCTTCAATGGAATGCCAAGTCCCAACTTTGCTGCGATGAAAGCAAGAGGATATCCGGTTGCTTTGGAAGCCAATGCTGAGGATCGGGACAATCTGGCATTGACCTCGATAATGCAGTACTCCTTTGAGAAGGGATTCAAGGCATATTGAATGTTGCATTCGCCAACCACTCCCAGGTGGCGAATGACATTTACTGCGGTAGTTCGAAGCATGTTGTAGTCTTCGTCCGAGAGCGTCTGAGATGGGGCAACCACAATAGAATCTCCGGTGTGGATACCGAGAGGATCGAAATTCTCCATGTTACACACAGTGATGCAGTTGTCTTGAGCATCTCTGACAACCTCATACTCAATCTCTTTCCACCCCTTCATACTCCTCTCAATCAAGACTTGAGGGCTAGCGGCGAGCGCCTTGTTGCATAGGTCGAGGAGTTCGGCTTCGTTGTTTGCAAAACCACTGCCAAGACCACCAAGAGCATAGGCAGCTCGGACGATGACGGGGAATCCGATGTCTTTTACAACCAGCATTGCCTCATCGACACTGCTGGCCGAGGCAGACTTGGCACACTTCTCACCGATGGACTCCATGCTTCGAGCGAAAAGCTCACGATCCTCGGTGGTAATGATTGTGTCAATGGGTGTGCCCAACACTTTGACACCAAGTTCTTCGAACTCATCCTTCAGCTGAATACCAACTGACAAAGCTGTTTGACCTCCAAAGGTGCAGTAAATGGCATCCGGGCGCTCGTAGAGAATGACTTTCCGAACGAAATCGGCATTGACAGGCAGGAAGTAAACCTTGTCCGCAAGTCCCTTGGATGTTTGAATGGTGGCAATATTGGGGTTGATAAGAACGGTATAGATACCCTCCTCCTTCAGGGCTTTGATGGCCTGACTTCCGGAGTAGTCGAACTCTCCAGCTTGGCCAATGCTGAGACCACCACTTCCCAGAACGAGAACCTTCTTCGCATGCACACGAGGATTAAGTCTGTCATTCTCCTCGGCGGTGCCGCCGGGAAATTCAACTGGCTGTGCAAGCAATTTTGAATCAGAGGCGCATTTTACGACCGTGCTGATGAAGACATCAAACAGGAACTCGGTGTCCCGAGGCCCGGGTGTGCTTTCAGGGTGGAATTGAACACTGAAGTACGGCTTGTCTTCGTGCATAATACCCTCATTACTGCCATCATTGGCATTCACGAACAGCTCTTTCCAGCCAGTGGGGAGACTGTTGCTGTCCACAGCGAAACCATGATTTTGAGAAGTAATATGACATTTACCAGTAACCATGCTTGTGCAGGGAATGTTATGACCACGGTTACCGAACTTCATCTTGGTTGTCTGGGCACCTGCAGCTCGAGCAAGAAGCTGATGGCCCAGGCAGATACCAAAGATAGGTGTACGGTTCTTTGAAATGGCAGTAGCAATGTTGCTGACCGTGTTCTGGAGAACAGCCGGGTCACCAGGTCCGTTGGAGATGAATAGACCATCGTACTCATCGCCCGCCTGGGCGGCGAGGTCATGATCCCATGGGCAGACCAGAACCTCAACTCCGCGTTTCAAGAAGCATCTCAGCTGGTTGTATTTCATGCCTACATCGAGACAGAGAATGCGGATGGGGCGTCCAGACGGGTGTAACAGAGCAGTGTCGACGGGGGGCTTATACAGCTTGGGGGTCTTAATGGACACTAAGTAGAGTAAGTAGATGTCAATGCACAATGCCATCGCAACTCACCCTCTGCTACAAGGTTCTTCTCGTTGGGGTTGACCCAATCGATCGTATCAAAATAAGGTCTCCATTCCTTCATAGCAAGAGGGCTGATGGTCCCGTTGGCGCCGTTTGTCACGCCATTGGCGGTTCCATTGGTCAGATTCTGCTTCTGCAGCAGCATCCGGCCAAGCATACTTCCCTTCTCTCTTATCCGCTTTGTGAGGGCTCTCGTGTCAACTCCATACATGGCAGGAATGCCCTGCTCCTTGAGCCATGTGCCGAGCGATGAGGCGGCTAGATAGTGGGAGTAATCCTCGCCCGAGTACGAGGCAGTCACGAGACCGGCAATGTGGATTTGAGACGATTCGAAATGGGCTGGGAGATCACCGAGGAGTTCGTCCAGTGTCTCCCTCGAAGGCACACCATAGTTTCCAACAAGAGGAAACGTGATGACGAGGATTTGGCCGCGGTATGAGGGGTCTGTCACGGACTCAGGGTACCCCACCATGCCCGTCTGGAAGACCAATTCGCCGGCAATGTTCTTGCGAGCGCCGAAGCTGTAGCCCTGGTAGGCTGAGCCATCTTCGAGCTCGAGACAGACAAGACCATCATCGTCTGAGCCGACGACGCGTGCCGATGCTGGAGGGAACGATGTGATAGACATCGTTGCGGTAGCGGCAAGGAGCGAGGGTACGGTACAGGTACGGGCTGAAAGACGGCGGGGGAGTAAGCAAGCCCGAGGACGAGCTCTCCGTTTGGCGGAAGAGAGGCGCCTTCAGAAGAGTGGTGTTATTAGATGGCAGCAGTGTGATTCATGCTTCGTCTTCCCGTGACCGCTCTACAACACAAGAGAACAGAATTGTAAATAAAGAGGAAGAAGGATGTTTTCCCAGAGAAAAATTGAGTCGTCGGTGTAGAAGAGAGCCAGGGAGTACCTAGGCCCCGCGAGACGCGCCTAGCACGTACCTGCACTAGGAACCAAAACTTTTTTTTTCTGCCCGCAAGTCCGCCTTCGTCACTGGTCAATTGACCCGCCCAGCACTGAGGGGCGATGACGGTGAAGGCAGGTTAGGGCACCCAATAGCAAGCAAAACTTGACCAAGCTGGAGGGGTCGGCGGGGCAAGATTCGCAGTGCTGTCCCGCCTAACCTCGTCCCCAACCAGAACTGCAGTGCAGGGCAGATGCATTTCACGGCGATTTCCATGCACCTTATGCACCACCGATCGTAGGGCGAATCAAGCACTGCATCTCGCATGGGAGCAGCTGGTTTGACGGGCATTACCGACTGGAGTGCCAGCCGACAGGCAACTGGTACCCAAACTTGCACATTTCGATTAGGTAAGTCGTGTCTAAATATATTAACAGGCAATTTGATCACTCTCTGCCATGCTATAACGTTGTTAAGAAGCCAATATCGTGTACTGGCTAACCCTCCAGGTACTCTAAGTGGGCACGCGCGCTTAGGATCGGTAGCCCTTGTCTTACGTGAGAGGTCACAAGCCGGGCGCTGACCGACTCTTCCATTCAACGCACGCCTTGGCTGGGGAAGCATCTCGCAATCACAAAATGATACATCACCCCGACTTTGCGGTTGCAGCTCACACAAGTCATGGGATGTAGAATAGATATGCCATTGAGGACCTTTCGGTCACAAAATCCTGTTGATAATATTTTGCTGGGCCGTGGGTCGAAAGACTTGTATGACAGCAAACTTGCTGTGTTAAGTGAGGGAGCATGAACCTGAGCTAACAGCACGAGTCAGGATACTACAGGGTAGGCGTGTTTCGGGGCGCTCTTTGTTCCAGACAAGATTGACCGTTCTTATATTGAGATTGCGCTGGGAACTCAATCATATTGTGATATAGGGCAACAGTGAAGCGCAACCTCTATACACTCTGATCCGAGGTGTCCCAAGTTCACAATGGGTGAGGGACCCGTGAAACGGGACCGGGCTTCGGCTCCGATCCCAAACTGCAACCATATGCCGAAAACTAAACGTCTGGGAAACTATTTATCAAAGTGAAATATGATGGTGCTGCAACTGTCCTCTTTCGGACATGAACTTATCTCACAGACCATCGGAGAAGGACCGCTTAGACGGAGTGTCTGAGTCAGGAAAAGAGCAATAGACAGAGAGCTATGCTGCATGTCGGCACGGATTGGTGCTTATAGTGTGGCGTCCTAAGTGCCCTCCATAAGTGAGTCTGTTACATTAGGAGCTTTCTCTCCCTGCCTAGATACTTAGCCTCTAGGCTCAAGGATGTCTCAATCATGCGACGCAACACCTCTCCCAAGCAATTGAAAGGCGTCTCTTGAGGTGAATAACCATGTACTTAACTATCTTTCTCAAAAGTGCCGGGCATATAACTCCGCGTGGAACTTCATGGACTGCATTCCAATCTACGTTAGTGAGGACAGGTATTCGACACCGCAAGTTTCGGTCTCCAGATCCACTGGCACCAGGTGCTTGATCACAGCGAATCATCGCGCCGCATGTCGACCTGCCGCTGCGACTCGGTCGCCTCATGGTGTGGTAGCGGTCCAATGACTGGCTGAGCTGCAGCAAACATGCATATTGGAGCACACCTTACGACGTCTTGTCTCACAGTTAAGCAACCCTAAGGCAGAGGTCATGCGCTTCACCGTGAGGCAAAAGTTGGGGGAAGTATGGGGGCAGGGCGTCCTAGCGCAATGCAAGATAAAGCAGCTTCAACCGCGAAGAGAAGACTGTCCGGTTGCAGCGTGATTCTTTTCTTTGCTGGGAAGCGGTAAAGACGACGACTGTGTTTTTTTCCTATTTTGGGTGCGAGCCTGCTCGAGGATTGGCCGGTTCTATATCAGTCTCCAACATCCCGTCTCCATTGAATACAGGTAATCTGCATCTCGGTGGGCCACTGATGTTGTAATGCAAGTAGGCCAAAGTGGACGCTTTCCTCATGTAAGTCACGACGCCAGCATGCAATGTAAGTCAAGGCACCCCGGCCTCACGCTAAGGGGGGACTGTTATTTCGATCTCCTCCTTATCACCAACACCACCCCAGGCCCCCCCAGCATTGGTTTCATTACCATGGTCGCGCTTTAGGCGGCCTTTTCCCTAGGATCTTGGACGATCTAGCATTGTGCTAACCCTGTCAGTGGTATATTTGTAGTGGTTCCCGGCATCCGTGCAGTGATTTATTTACTTCGTACATGTGGGGAACTCGGCTCAAGTCGAGCTGCACCCAAGCATTGTCTTTGCAGTACACGGCTTCTCGCAGCTGGGACACAGCACAAAAGCCCGATTGTGCTTCGGACGTTATTTGCCTCCTGAGGCCTTCCTGACGTCCCCGTTGCCTTTTGAAATCCATGGAGCGGTGATTATCAAAGGCGTTGAGCTGGGCTTAGACTAGCCGGCCGACAGAATGCTCTCCAGGCTACTGTCTCCCTTCGCGTCCGCATCGCGACGCGACGGCGAGGAAGATGAAGACAGCCCTTCACCTGGAGCCTCGAACCGCGATTATGCTCGGCAAAGACATGCCACCGCCGACTTCACCGAAGCAGATGATGACGACGACGAGTCCAACGAGGATGAGCAGGAACAGTACCGTCCCAATCGCCCTGTCCAGGAAGACGAGGATGGCCTGCCTCACCCCGGCGCTGTTTTGCCGCTCTTTTCCTCAACACACCTTGGTACAGTCCATCCAATGGCTCTGAAATTGAGCTTACTGACTCCTTGAACAGACTCGTTGCCTGTCTACAGCATAACACATGCCATCCGAATGATCGTCCAAACCCGAACCGAAACCACGTTGACCTGGGAGCAATTGAGATCACCCCAGGTCTCCCAATTTCTTGTCAAGCCAATGCAACAGCAGATTCGGACCCAACACTTTACTCGGGCTACCATTTACGCGCTCATGGCCAACTGCCTGCAGTTCGGCAAGGAAGGTCAAATGTACCCGGGCAATGCAGGAACAAGCAGCACTAGGGCGAAAGTCTGCGAGCTCCTTGCAATAAAGCTACTGAAGGAATACAGCACGCGGGAGCTCATAGATGCTCTTTCGTATGACTTCTACCCTCTCCAAGGCTTACCAGGTAACCAAACGCCCATTGCGCCCCGAGATGCCAAGGGAAAGCCACGGCCTGCTGCCGCCAGGACATCCACGCTGGAAGTCGCGATACGAGCCTCTGCAAAGAACTTTCTGGCTCACCCCCTGGTTGTCCAGCAACTTGAGGCTATCTGGAATGGTGCCATTAGCTTTTATTCTGCTGCTGACAATATACATCGTCAGACATCTGTATCATCAACCTCCAGCGGCAGCAACTCAAGGAGACAGAGTGGTTTAAGAACGCCTCTACTAGGACAGCAGAACCCGGGCAAGGAAGACCAGTCTCGCATGCCATTCTATGCAGCAGGGCGGCGAACTGTCACCCTCTACGATCCCAGAAATGCGTCTCTATTCAAGCTATCAAGGCTCCGAGTACCACGCTATAGGCAATTTCTGTCAACATGCTCATTGGCTGTCCTGATCGGTCTATTTCTCGCAGTCCTAATAGCGAGGTCAAATCGCATCACCACTCTCGAGCTTATCTTTTGGTTCTGGAGTGCCGGCTTCATGCTGGATGAGCTTGTTGGTTTCAACGAGCAAGGCTTCTCGCTCTATATCATGAGTTTCTGGAACATTTTTGATCTTGGGATCCTGCTCCTGCTCATCGTTTACTACTGCATGCGTCTATACGGAGTATTCCTTGTCGATGCTCGAAAATGGAATGACAATGCATACGATATGCTGGCCGCCAACGCCATCCTGCTCCTTCCGCGGATATTCAGCGTTCTCGACCACTATCAATACTTTTCACAGCTTCTCATCGCATTCAGGCTCATGGCCGTCGATCTGATGGCCGTGTTTGTGCTCGTTGTCATTTCTTGCAGTGGCTTTTTCGTATTCTTCACATTGTCGAGGAATGACAATGATGCCGCTGAAGTTGCGTACAAGATATTTCAGCTGCTCATGGGATTCACCCCTGCCGCTTGGGAAGTGTGAGTAAAGTTCTTGGAATGCAACTCTCCACACCTGAAGCACGCTGCGTTTTTCTATATTCTGTCAAGCCACAGGTACTAACTTGGACATAGTTGGCCGAATTATGATTGGCTTGGGCGAACATTGATGGTGATCTTTCTCATCATCTGTCACTTCGTCATTGTGTAAGTCCTACGGTGCTGTCTGGTACTATATATATTAATCTTCTACATCTAGTACCATTCTGATCACAGTTCTTACGAACTCGTTTATGGCGGTTGCCTCTCATGCGAACGAGGAGCATCAGTAGGATTGTCCATTTTGATGTCGTGGAATTATGTCTGACAGTGACCAGGTTCTTATTCGCCATCAATACCATTTCAATGGTGAAGAATGACGCGCTGTTTTCTTACGTCGCGCCTGGCAACATCTTTGCATGGATATTGATGCCGCTGAGATACTGTATGCCTTTGCAACAGTTCGTCTGGCTCAATCGTTTATTTATCAAAATCACTCACTTCCCTCTATTGTTCTGCATCTATTTCTATGAGAAGTACTTCTTGGCTTCCTCGATGTACGAGCCTACAGACCTGGTGGAACACCCAGGACGAGGTCGTCCAAGACAATTCTCCTTAGCAGATCCAACAAGCAGAGCCGCTCTGTTCAGTCCCAACGTTCGAGTACGTGAAGAATCGGTCGCAGGGTTTCAGAAGGACCGCGCCTTGGAAGAGGTGTTCCGACGAGCCCCTGACTACGCGACTTTACGGACTCAGCGTAGGGAAGAACGTAGGAAGGCCCAGACGGCTATTAGAAATTGGATGGACCAGAATGAGACGATTGCGGAATCCCCTAATAACTATTCGACCATTGACAGCAGGGCACAGCAAGACTGGCGCCGAAAGCTCAGTCTGGGCCGGGATCGCCAGAGCAAACTTCGTCAATTCTCAGAAGCAAGGTCCGTTGCCAGCGATCCGGCAGACTTGTTGTCGAATCATGGCTTCCGTGGCGCCTCGAATTACTTTGATAGCATATCTCGGCATGATTATGCGATGCAGACTGAGATCAAAGACAACACCGATGCGGATGGTGACGACGAGCTTGTTACGAATGACGAGGACGAAGAGGACAATGCCACAAACACCGCCGAGAGTAGAAGAAGCCACCGACCGCAACCAGTTGAGGAAGAAGATTATTTTACCACTCCCATTGCAAATCGCTTCAGCAGAAATCCTCCAATGTCGGCATCTGTGCATTCATCCACAGCACCACTGAAGCAGACTCCCCCACAGGCATCACCTCGTCCACCACGCCGCAACATGCACAGTCGAACGCTTTCTACGAATACGATTCTCTATAATCCGCCAGGGCAGTCACAGCACCAGCAGGACGAGAGCTCGGCATCACCAATGCCAACTTCTCAGGTGCGATCTCGGCCGATGAGCAGCCGTCACACGCCGGCTGATAGCCCCGGACCTGGACCGGGCCGCCGGTCTCCTCGCCGCACCGTATACCTGGCTTCGCGTCCAAGACCAATCCTTCCGCCTCGTGACATGGCACACACAGCTCCCAACCGAGCGGCACTGGGTCTGCCCATGGAGCCGCTCGCCAGACGCAGTCAGCCTAGGAGATTATCGTCGCTGGACCTCGCAGTGGACAACCAGTCAGACCTGGCCGGGCTGGCGGCGGCGAACGACACATATGGCGCAGTGCCATCTAGTTTCGCGACGCAAATGGCCATGGCGACCGGCATGATGACGCCTGCCGGTCTCGGTGGGGGTCCTGGCCTCGGCCGGCGCGACAGCGACCGCATGAGCCGGCTGATGCTGGCACGTATGAAGACGCTGGAGGAAGGGTTCGCGGACATCGTGCACGAGATGCGCGTCATGCGCAGCAGCGGACACCCAACGGCGAACAACTCCGCATCCGAGGGCAGCTGGAAAGGCAGGTCGGTGCCCGGCCTTGCCACGATCGAGATTGCGGGACACGACAGGGGCGAGCGCAGTGGGCTGAGGAGGGTCAAGACTGTGACTTCGAGACCTGGCAGCGGCAGGGGCAAGGGCAAGCAGGTCCAGCAGTCGGACGCCGACGACTCGGATGATGGCGATGGCAACCAGACGTTTGCCACAAAGGGGAGTTCTTTATAAGCTTGTGCCATCTTCTTCTACAGGGAAACGAATGGAGGCGTAATCTGCATACATGTACACGGCGTTCAGTTTGCGTTTTTGTTTTCGGACCGCAGTATATGCATTGGACACGGGGCGTTTTGGATCGTTTTGAGCATTGAGAATCTCTCCATTCTAGATACCTATGAGAGCACCCATTTGGCAGCTCCGCTTTGGCTCGGACGCAGCTTTGGGAGCAGCTTCTCCATTTGCAGCACATAATTCATAATCAGACATTGCGCCACTTGAGCACCCACGACTTCCTTCTAAAGACCACGACCCGAGACTTTGTCTAATATCGTCATTCGCCGAATATCCCCCCGCCATGGTTGATTTCTCTAGGCCTGAATCCGTCCTCCTGCCATAAGCGTTGTCCGCGTAGTTGCGCCTTTCAATTGATTTGAGCACTTGAAATCCTGATTGATACTCCTGACTCCTTCCTTCCACCTGTGGTATAAGCCGTAGACCAGTATATCACCATCCTTCCTCTCGGTCATCATGCTCCGGCATGTTTGAAGTGTCCATTGGGTCCGACTGGGTTGGCTGTCTCTTCAAATTCCGCCTCCGCTGCGGTCTACGCTGACGTAGAAGTTGGGAATGGCCGAGTTCTTCTGGGCGAGCTCGTTCTTCCTGATCTGCTCGGCCTTGTAGCGGACGGCCAGGGCCACGCCGGTGGCGGCGGCGGAGGCAAGAATGAGGCCTCTGTGACGGGTGCTGCTCCCAGCAGCATTAGTTACGTTCAAGGACAGACAGATTTGGGTGTTAGGAGACCAGGTTACTCACGTAAATGGTCGGACCTGGCCGCCGTTCATGTGTGCTCTCGCCGAATCCATGTCGTTGTGTGTGGCGACTTGTTTTGTTTCGAGGCGGTGTGTTTGTCGAACAGCCGAGGTTAGGTCGTTCCGTTCAAGTGAGGGATAGGCGAATCTCTTGGGCAATCAGCTCTAATAACAAGCACATGTGGCTCCCTTTTAAAGAGCTTCTACAATTGAGAGTTGGAGAGACAAGAAGGATCGGGACAAGAGATGGGAGGGTAGGGAGGTAGCTTAGGAGCTATGATAGGGTTTCTGTCTGCCTACTTATCTTGCCGGCAAGCAATCGATCAAGTAATGAATTGTTGGGGATGTGGATGGCGAAAGATCGGGATCGAACGATGCCTGGGGGCTTGAGGTTAGTGAGCACGCGACACCACACTGGGGAAAGCTGGAGATGGGTCTCCGACTCCCAAGCAGCACCCTGATCTGCCCACTAGCTCTGGCGGCCGCTCTGATTTGCGGGGAGGTGCTCCGGGCCAGTGGCTTGTGGAGAAGATAGGTAGCTGGTAGCGTAGCATATAGGAGGTAGGTACTGTAGCACAGCAGCGAGGCGGCGGTATACACATGATGGTAGATACAAATTCAATACATAAGGCGGCGCAGATGCATGCCTCATTAGGTACCTAGGTAGAGACAGCTGCAGCAATGCCGTGTCAAGAGGGAGGCCAAGCTGCTCCGTCAACTCCCGAATGTTTCGTCCACTTGCACATTTGATGAAGCCTCTTCACTTCCCATGTCGTCTTAATCAACTTGCCCTGCTTTCATTTGTGTTATCAATTCGGAAGCAGAATGAAGGTCTTGGGTCTGGGTATTCGACTTTAAGTTCAAAGTATCTCCCTCTCCCTTGACATCATGCCCTGGGAACTGCGATTCAGCTTCTTGATATGAGACAGACGTTTGCCACATTGAGTTCGAGACCTGTTGAGACCACCTGGGCACCGGGAGCTCATCCGCGCCATACTGTGACCGTGGCTAGCGAGGGGCGGGGGCGGTAGTGATAAGGAGAGTCTTGGAGCTGATTAGCGTCGTCGGGTGTCTTGGTCAAGAACTGCCCCTCTCCTGTCCTTATAACGGAACCTGGAAGCTCACTAGAAATGTCTTAGAACTCATTGGCCAACATCTTGCATAGAGCACACCTGCATCTACCTCCACCTGCAGGTGGGCTGCTACCTACCAGCCTCTAGTATCTCACCGATCGCCTGTTTCCAACGCCGTTATTGCACAACCTACAGCTCTTCTATCCCGCGTATAACCATTCGCCCACCACCTGCAAAGCTGCGGTTCACACCTTGTGTAAGTGCGCGGAAGCCGGGGTCGTATGAGTAGCTCCTACGAGGTCGGTCGGTAGAGGCTCGAGAGGGTACCGGTAGCGTACTTAGGTATATATGCGAGTATGCGTATGTGGCCGATCATCTCTCTACCTACCTACCTACCTAGGTACAGTACACAGTTGATGGGCCTCACGCATTCAATCAACTGCAGCACGCCAATGAGAAGACTGGGGAGCGGCCAGGTCACCATCATTAACCTGAAGCAAGTGCCAGGCACCTCTCCTCGACCCGAAAGCCGGGCAGACTTCCATTGGCTCGCTATGCAGACCTGGGAGCTCCAGCTGCACCTGGGCATGCGATGAACCCAGTCATTGGTAACTGCCCTCCTGCTCTCACCTGGGCATGTCTGACTCTTTGCAACTCTGGAACCCGCAGGCACTCGGCTGTGCCTCATTGATCGGTACATGTCCCAGTGCCGTACATCCAATGCCCAGAAATGCTCGAAAGAGGCCAAGTAGGCTGAGAAAGTCCCGTCACATGGCAGCTTATCCGAGAAGCTTTCCTTGCCGCAATACAACCAACATACGTGGTACAAGCCATGTCAGATCTTGCATCTGTCCATTTCATTTAGTCTATCTCTTGGGTCAAATTCTCGGATTGAACTACCACATATCAGTACTGTAATTCAGCAGAGCTTGATTCTCTCCTGGTGTCGCGTTGTGTGTACCAGATCCTCGACCAAGCAACTTCTTTCTTCTTCACCAGTCTGTCTAATGAAATGCCGACGAGCATTTCTCAAATTCATCATACACAGTCTCTCTATCTACCGTAGCCAATAGACAAAGTCGCCTTCTCCACACATATCTTCCCCGTTACCAGCCCAGCCGACTCTCCTTCCTTCAGGCTGCTTGGCTGCCTTGCGGCTCGCAGCACCCCTGTCCCCACGTATCCATCATCTGACATCCCACCTCAGGAAGGCTGCCTGAATTACGGGACCATTCTCAACAGCACGCACACACAAAACATCTCTTCATCGGGTCTCAAGATATTCAAAGTGAAGCCAGATCAAGATCTAGCAAACGAAGATACTGCAAGTATTTGCATACGATTTACACCATATAGCAGGCAAGAAGAGACGATAGACACTTCGCCACACTAACCTCCGCCTGCCCCTCACTTGTAAGCACTTCACTCGGTGTGATTGAGCTGGCAAGTCGCCATGGTAAGTTGAACATATCATTCATCCCAATCAGTATATGCTCACAGATCTCAGGACCAACAAGATCACATGGTCTCGCCAGAGGCCCTTGATGCCGCCATCCGAGCTCAGTTTCCTGATGCGATACCTGAGGCTCACCCCGAGACATTCGCTGCCAGACACTTTCATGACCAGGAGCAGTTCAGGACACAGAATGGCCTGCAGAACTCACCCACCGGCGACGTGCTCGTCATTGTCAAACCGCCTGACTATATAGAGAAGAGAACGAGCTGCAACGGAGCCCCGTTCAAGGAGGCCCGGCTGCGCCTCGACTACGACGCCATTGTCAAGACGGGCTCCACGGATCTAATAGACAAGCTGCAGAGCGCCAAGTATCAGAATAGGATGAGGCGGCGCATCAATGACATTTCAGAGGGTGTGACACATGTCCTCGATCTATCGCCCTCCCTGGAAGAAGACGACTGCTCTCTGGCGCTGCAGGACCTGACCATCACAAAGGGTATCAAGCTATGGTATCGCACCATGTACGGAGCCGAATCAGTGTCCGCCCGTCTCGTTGGCGGCCACGACGATGTCTGTTTCTGCCGGGGGGAGAGCGATGTGGTCGAAGCGCTGCCAAATCCCATCCGAGTCACCCCTATGATGAACCTGCAGTCTCCGCAGTCTTCTTCATCGCTGGAGGAGTCCAAAGACGACTGCATCTACGATATGAAGCCTCTGGCAGTCTACCGCGATATCAACGACTATTGCCCGATACGGCAAGCGGCAAACACCATACGGCTCTTCCGAGCTATCGCTGGCGAGGACCTGTTGATCGACTCTGCGCCGAGGATGTGGACCTTGGTTGGATTGTTCAAGATGTTTGGCATGACAAATCATGATTTACTCGTAAGTGGTTCAATTTGGAGGTTTTGTAAAGATATCTTTTGCTGACTGAATCCAATGGCTAGCGCGACAGCATCACAGCGTGGCTCATGGCCGATCCGAATTCCATGTTCATGGAGATCCTGCCGGAGGAGACGCTCCATGTTGCAACAGTGTTGGAAAGCCAGGCGATTGCCGAACCAGCTTACAGGATTCTTGTTAACGAGAGAGCCATAGCAGTGGCCGGAGAGCAGTTGACAAGACAACACTTAGCGCAGACCGTCTTCGGTCGACGGTCGTCCGACTGCCTCTCTGGATCAGAGTTCGGCGATTCGGTGCTGCGGATGGTGGAACATGCCGGAGTCGCAATGGCAGACCGTGTAAGGACCGCAGTGGACCGCCTCCTGAGCGACGAGTGCTTCAGCGTTCTTGGAATCCAAGAGTGGAAGAAACTGCTCGCAGTGGGCTTTACCATTAAACAGATAGGTCTGAGCCAAGACCTCCCGTTCGTCAAAGCCCTCGGGGTTTTGATAGAAGGTCTACGGTACTCCTTCCACACAGACGTCTATGATGCTCTCTCCGATGTGCTGCCTCCGGGCTCGGATATCTTCGCCGACAGAGTGCGTCGGCATTACATCTCGCCTGTAACCATGTTGAGCTTCCGCGATGTCTACAAGTTCCTGAAAGAGCATCAGCGCGCTCTCACACCGTACTTCTGGCAGCAGCTATCCAACAAACCTGCCGGCTGGCTCAAGTACAAGTCAGCGCTCGGCCCGACCCACTCTCTCGAGTCGCTCACCACGACGTTCAACAAGGAGCTTCGGAACGCTCTGGAGCCCGCCGGTATCAGCATCGGCGAGTTCCACCTGTACGAGTTTCATACGCAGCTGACAGCGGCTGTCCGTCGATACATTGCGCCTTACATCAAGCAGGAAGGCCAGTACCTAATCACACCGCACCTCCTCTTGACTCTCAATGACGAGGAGATGAACTTTCTACGGCTAGGCAGCGAGGCAGTCTTCGACGACAATGTTCCTCCCACGTGGATGGGACCAAGCGGACCCGGCCCCGCGTACCATACCGGCCAAACAATCGGTAGCGTCTCTGGCTCGTCCACTACGAGCTTCGGCATGGGAAAGCTTGCCATTGACGATGACGACGACGATACGGCGACCGCGACAGGAGTTCCTGGGAGCAGTGTGGCCCAGGACGGAATCTCGACAGTCTATGGACGACATCGGGTTATTGCTCCAAGTGCGCAATCCATTGTGTCCGAGCAGTTCTCCGCCGGCGACAGTGAGTATGCGCAAGCGCAGTTTGCGGTGCCGGACGAGCGGCAGGGCCGCGGTAAAGCCCTCGCTGCCCTGGTTGAGGAGGATGACGATGACGATTATGAAAAGGAGTTTGAGATGGCCGACGACAGCGACGACGAGACGATGGGAGATACCTCGGGGGAAGAATCAGAGGCCTTCTCCTTTGTAGAGAGTACGACCTAGGGTGGCTCACTCAATGAACCGGTAAAAGAATGGCTTTTATGGGCTGGCTAGCTACGACGGAGGCGTTAATAGTGCATCGGGAATCAGAGCGCTTTATGATCACGAATCTTCTCTTCACTGTACATATAATAATACTTGGGAACTTTAGCATGAAATCATCTCCCTATTACGCCCGAGCTTTTCTAACCCATTTTTCCACCGAGCAATAATGCTACGCAGAATGTACCCCTAAACATATGCTATGCCATTCCTATTTGGTATGCTCCCCTGTTCTCGTCTCGCCGTATACTCCTAAATGCACAATCATCAAGTTGTTTGATTACCGCACTGTCATACAGGGGAATACTGTGCCGTCAACCCCTGTTCAATGTGTTACCGCTGCCTTTTGGGTTCGCCTCGGTGAACTCATCCCATTCTCTGGCCTTCATAGTCTCTGCATCGGCCTTCTCGTAATTGTCCTCATCTGGCGTCGGTTGTCGGCCGCTCGCCTCACCACCTCCCTCAATGATGCCGCCTCTCCGCCTCTCCTCATCCAGGTACTCGTCGATCGTCATGGTCGGCAAGTTGTGGCTCGGCCTGAACACGCCTCTCTGGATCTCCTGCCTGTTACCCAGCAGCGTGAACGGCCGCAAGGGCTTCCCGTCCTTTGCGAGGAGCGGGCCGTTCCCGCTCAGCGACCCCAGCCTCCTTAACGGCCGGTCCAGCCGGTCCGAGAAGCCGTCCTCCTGCATGCTGTCGGCGCGCCGTCGCTCGTCCTCCTCGACGGACGACGTCTGCGGCAGCAGCGGCACCGGCGCCTGGGCCAGGATCTCAAACTCCCTGTTCAGGCTCTCGAGCGCCTGGAAGGTCATGTGGGCGCAGTAGTGGACGTTGGCGACGTGCACCTCGCGCACCGCCTCCTCGTCGCCGCCGCCGCCGCCGTCCTCAAGGTACTCGGGTCGCCGCCGCAGGTACTCCAGCTTCTGGCGCAGCTCCTTCTCCGCCTTGAAGTTTGCAATCTTGGCGTTCCGCCTGGCGTTCGGGTCCGAGGTCGAGACGGTGGAGAAGGAGCCGGGGTCGTCGGCGTAGCTCTCGAGCAGCTTCGCGTACGACGGCGACAGGAGGGAGTAGCTGTCCAGCATGTGCAGGAACCTCTCGTACGCATCCCGCGCCCTCTCCAGGACCTTCTTGCGCTCGTGGGGCGAGGTCGCGGAGATCTTCTGGGTGAGCTCGGCGAGGTAGAAGTTGATGAGGAGGTAGGGGAGGTCAGAGGTCGAAATGTCCTCGAGGCTCTCGTTGGGGCTGAAGATGGAGAGACTGCCGATCAGCTGCAGGCACTCCAGGTAGTCGTCGATCGCGGCGGAGAGGTCCTCCCGGTACTGAGGCGAGGCCGCCTCGTACGTGTTGTCGAGAGCATGCCGTTTCTCTTCTGCCTCTGCGAAGACGGACTTGAGAGTCCTAGGCTCGTCCATTGCGTTGCACAAGATCGATCGATGGCTGTGCTTGTTCCAGGCTTCCCTCGGTGAGTAGAAAAGAATAGAAGGCCTCGTGCCCTACGAAACACGAGGAACTGGGAGTCTGGTTGGAAGCTGCAGGACTGAGGCAAGGAGGCTTCTTAATTGCTTAGAAACGTACTGGTGGCAATGGTTGATTTTTGAGCCACAAGCACAAGTGCCCCGCACGCACGCATACGGAGCTTCCTTTGCGCAATCAACTGGGGCCAGGGGTCCCCTAAGCATCTTATCGATAGCGCGATAACGATGCCAGTTGTGGTTGTGGGGCGAGGACCCCGTTTACGGGTAGGTCAGAGCTTAACTTTGGATGCCTTGGACCCCTGTTTCCCCTAGATTTAGCGGCCCCCCACGCGCAACTTACAGTACGAGCCGTATAAGTGGCTTCGACAGACTACCTACCGTACGTAGGTAAGTATTCATAAGGTTGTCACCAACTGTGCATTGACCAGCTACGCCTGCCGTTCCCAGATTGTCCTGGTCTTGGCTTCGATATCGTCTACATGTCATTATTTCCAGAGGAATAAAAATGAGGCTTCCGTGTGATGGAATGGGAGCTTGGCATGGTGCCCTGTTGTTGCTATGTTGAACCTGCTCCTGTGATTGAAAATGAGCCAACTGATTCTTACAATATTCAGGTATAATGTCTCTTGTGGGGACCGGGAATTAAGTGTGTCAATAAATTTGAGATGACAAGTGGAGGTGTGCTTCTGCTTGCCTCTGCTTCTTTGCCCGGTATCCAGTGTCCACACAGGGAATTCGGAAACTGTTCTCTTGATAACACAAGATCGTCACCATAAGTTCAGAAGCATAAACATGAATACCTAAAGGAGATTTCTAGATCTTTAATTTGAGTTATATGACCTAGTCGTGTACCGATTTGTTGACTGTATTAGAGAACAAAGCTTGCTCACGATACTACACAGTGGTAATTATATAAATCTGCGGCAACGCATAATTCTTCAGAGATGGATGTGTTGTGAAATGTTTGCTCTGCTGCCTTTTTTGGTCGTGCTTTATTTGGGTCATTGAGGCGTCACTTGTCAAAGCACCTGTCGCACTTCTACGTCCTTCCAAACAAATCGATATTCGCGGAGCTGCTCCCTTTCTTTTCCACACCCCTGCCTCCTAGTTTCTCCTTTCCTCCGTGGTGAATGTTTTCCTTCCCTACCACACTCGACATCCGTGGCAACAAACATCCCACCGCTCCCAACTTCACGCTTTGAAGCAAGAATTGTTTGACGATCTCACGTCAAACACGACTGCTCGAGAGCTTCACAACAGCTTACGGCTGAATCCTCCTGAACCATTCTCCTCAGAAATTATCACCTTTCTCACTCGCGTATCACATCCTTCTCGCTTGGCTTCCCCACTCAAGATGGGGGATCTCATCCCGTCCGACCTGGACGTGGCCCTCCCAAAAACAGAACCTACAATGTTGAAGGACGTGATTGGAAGTTTCAAGGATGACCTGCTACAGTATATCGGCTCCGATATCACAAAAGAAACGATAGACAGGGATTCTAGCAACATCAGCGAAGATGATGAGGATGAAAATCATCAACTTGCATGGAACGAGCCATCCAAACCTCGCAAGATCTCCCAGAAGAAGCGATCGGAGATCGCGGGCTTCGATACGTGGCTAGAAGAGCATCGAGAGCAGGTCTCGAAGGAGACGGCGGAACGCATGTCAGGAACCTATGATGACAATTCTGTCAACTACTTGGTGAAGGGCATGGAGGGCCACAGAATCATCACGAGTCCGCGTGACTATCAAGTCGAACTATTCGAGAGGGCGAAGCAGATGAACACCATCGCCGTACTGGACACTGGCTCTGGCAAGACGTTGATTGCCGCACTTCTCCTCCAGTGGGTGATTGACCATGAGCTGGAAGATCGCGCAGCGGGACTGCAAAAGCGAATTTCCTTCTTCCTCGTAAGTCATGCTTCTTCAAGGGGCGGTCTGTACTTAACACTTCGCACAGGTCGACAAAGTGGCATTGGTCTTCCAGCAACATGCCGTTCTGGATTGTAACCTGGATCATCCAGTCGAGAAGTTCTGTGGAACTACGCTGAACCGCGGCTGGAAAACCAAAGCTTTCTGGGACAGCGTTGTGAATGACAACATGGTCGTTGTGTGCACGGCAGAGATCTTGCGGCAGTGTCTACAACACGCATATATCCGATTAGACCAGATCAATCTACTCATCTTCGACGAAGCTCATCACGCCAAGAAGGAGCACCCTTATGCCAAGATCATCCTGGACTTTTATATACACGAGGAAAACAAGGCTCGCCGTCCGAGAATCTTTGGTATGACAGCCTCGCCTGTCGACGCCAAGACCAATGTCACGGTGGCAGCTACGGCACTAGAAGAGATCCTGCATAGCAAGATTGCGACTGCTTCGGATCCTACTGTTCTGCAGAGAACAGTCTCTAAGCCAAAGGCGGAGATTCTCCAAACATACAACAGACTGTCTTCTCCGCATAATACTGAGCTGACATTGAGGTTGATGGGACCATTGGGGTCGAACAAGGCCTTCAGGAAGTTGTTTCAGTTCTCGCGAGACGCTACATCTCAGTTGGGCCCTTGGTGTGCCGACCGCATATGGCAGAAAGTCTTTCTAGAAGAAGGCGAACAACTGATGAGACTTGAGGCCAGAGGCGAGAGGGATTTTGCACAGGACACAGCATTGGGTGTCATATCGAAGGAGTACCAGAGTGTGGTCCATATAGCGAGGCCCCTTGTCTGTGCACATTCGTTCGAATCTGTTCGACCGACTGTAGAGCACCTTTCACCAAAGGTTATGTCACTTCTGAACTGCCTTTCAGCACATTTTTCCAAGTCGGAGGATACGAAATGCATCATTTTCGTACAGATGCGACTTACTGCTCTGATGCTCATGGATCTTCTGCAGCAGCCTAACATCAGAATCAAGAATGTGAAAGTCGGCACTCTCGTAAGTATATTTTGACTCAGGTGTAGAGTATATGCTGATAGCAGTGAAGATAGGTTCTGGAAATGGAGGCAGAGAGGATGGCTTCTCTGGCAATTCGTTCAGAAGTCAGATTTTGACAATCATGAAATTCAAGAAGGGGGAACTCAACTGTCTGATCTCGACCTCGGTTGGTGAGGAGGGCATAGACATCCCAGATTGCAACTTGATAATCAGATTCGATCTCTACACTACCATGATCCAGTATATCCAGTCACGGGGTCGCGCCCGTCACGAGAATTCGACGTACATCCACATGCTCGAAATAGGAAATGGAGAACATCGCCGCAGGCTTTATCAGAACACCTACAATGAGGCCGTCCTGCGCGAATTCTGTAGTGCCTTGCCGGAGGACCGGAAACTCGAGGGATACGATTCCAACATGGACTACTATCTCAAGCAAGCGAAGAACAAGAGACAATATATCGTGAAGTCAACAGGCGCCAAGTTGAACTTCAAGCAGAGTCTAGTGACTCTTGCAACATTTGTCTCTTCATTACCACATGCTGATGAGGTCAATCTGGTCCCCGAATATGTCATGTCCGCGACTGACGAGGGCTATGTTTGCGAGGTCATGTTACCACTCACATCGCCAATCCGGAGCGTGACAGGTCACTACTTCCCCAGCAAACAGGCTGCCAAATGCTCAGCAGCATACGAGATGTGCCTTGAGTTGATCAGAAATAAGTATCTCGACGAACACCTTCGTCCTATATTCACAAAGCAGCTACCCGCAATGGCGAATGCTCGATTGAACATCTCGTCTAAAAAGAAGGACCAGTACGGTATGCGTCCGAAGCCGGAACTCTGGAGGAATCTTGGCGAGCCTCTCTTGCTCTACGCCACTGTTATGATTCTATCAAAGCCCGAGTCGATGGACAAACCATCACGTCCATTGATATTACTCACTAGCAGTCCGATGCCGATGGTTTCAAGCTTCCCTCTGTTCTTTGGAAAGGGGAGATCTTCTGCAGTCGAACTGATTGGGATCTCTATCCCTATCGAGCCTACTAAAGGGGACTTGAATACCTTTGCGAAGTTCACACTGAGGATCTTCCAGGATGTGTTCAGCAAGTGGTATAAAGCCACCGTAGCTGACCTGCCTTACTTCATAGTCCCGTCAAAGGAAAATCATCACTATGATTTCTCGACTTGTTCCCATCCCAGCAAGATCATCGACTGGAAAGCCACACAATATGTGCAGAGTACGGAGCGTGTGACCTTCGATGGCAACGAGCCAGATGACTTCTTCGTCGACAAATACGTGACGGACCCCTACGACGGATCTCGCAAATTCTACCTTCGCAAGGTGAGGCGGGACCTTAAGCAGCAGGATCCCATCCCGGAAGGTATCAAAGTACCGACAAACAGGGCGTGGAATGATGTCCCGCATGACATACGCAACTACAGTCTGCGTATGTGGTCCAACTCACGAAACCGCTTCCAGTGGCAAGAATATCAGCCTGTTGTCGAGGCCGATCTGGTCCCCCTTCGACGTAACCTCCTAGACGAGAGGCTTGATGCAGAGTCGACCATGCAGACATGCTTCCTGGTTCTTCAGCCACTGGAAATTTCACCTGTATGTCTCTGTCAACTCAAACGTTTCCTAGGTTACAAGCTAAACTTTATAGCTACCCGTAGATGTAGTTGCAATGGCATACAACATCCCGGCCATCATCTATCGACTGGAGTCGAATCTTGTTGCGTTAGATGCTTGCAAACTGGTCGGCCTTGATATCCGGCCGGATCTGGCTATCGAAGCATTCACCAAAGACAGCGACAACACTGACGAGCATGATCAAGAGCCCCTGAACTTTCAGGCGGGTATGGGCAAGAATTACGAGAGACTGGAGTTTCTCGGAGACTCGTTTCTCAAGATGGCCACGACAATTTCTTTGTACACCCTTATCCCCGACAAGAACGAATTCGATTACCACGTTGAGCGCATGTGCTTGATCTGCAACAAAAATCTCTTCAACAACGCCCTGGATCTCAATCTTCAGGAGTATATCCGCTCCAAGGCGTTCAGTCGCAGAACCTGGTATCCCGACAATCTCGAGCTGATCAAGGGAAAGAAGACCGAGGAGAAGAAAAACAAGAACACACACATTCTCGCAGACAAATCCATTGCCGACGTCTGCGAAGCGCTCATTGGAGCTGCTTACATGACTGGACGGGAGAGCAATGACTTTGACATGGCGGTTCAGGCGGTCACAGTAGTTGTGAATCACAAGAATCATCGAATGAAATCTTGGTCTGAATACTATGCTGCATACGAGAAGCCCAACTGGCAGACTGCTAGCGCCTCAGCCTCTCAGCTTGCTCTAGCGAAGAAGATCAAGGAGAAGATGGGCTACGACTTCAAGTACCCTCGCCTACTGCGCTGTGCTTTCCGACATCCGTCTTATCCTCGTCATTATGAGAGCCTGCCCAGCTACCAACGACTGGAGTTCCTCGGTGATGCCCTGCTCGACATGACAATCGTGGATTATCTATACCAGAAGTATCCAACGAAGGATCCCCAATGGCTCACTGAGCACAAGATGGCCATCGTGTCCAACCAATTCCTCGGCTGCCTCGCCGTTTCACTCGGTTTCCACAAGCACATGCTCTCCTTCAGCAGCACCCTGCAGAAGCAAGTCATGGAGTACGTAACAGTGATCGTCGAAGCCAAGGAGCAAGCAGAGGAGGAGGCGCAGCGAACGAAGGAGGGCTTCGCATGGGACTACTGGGTGAACGTCAACCACCCGCCGAAGTGCCTCGCCGATCTGGTGGAGGCGTACGTCGGCGCGGTCTTTGTCGACTCGCAGTACGACTACGGCCAGGTGCAGGCCTTCTTCGACACGCACGTCCTGCCCTACTTCAGAGACATGAGCATCTACGACACCTTCGCGAACAAGCACCCCGTCACCTTCTGCTCCAACCTGCTGGGTCAGACGTTCCACTGCAACGGCTGGGGCGTGCAGATCCAGGAGGTTCAGGTCACCGAGGGCGAGGGCTTCATCACGGGCGCGACCAAGGTCGTTGCGGGCTTCATGGTCCACGGCCAGGTGGTCGGTCATGGTGTTTCGGAGAGCGGACGGTACGCGAAGATCTACGCGGCCAAGGAGGCCCTGAAGAAGCTGCAGAGCATGACCGTCTCGGAGTTCCGAGATGAGTTCAAGTGCAACTGCATTCCGGAGGAGGCGGCAACAGACGATGTGCTGGAGCATGCTACCGCGGTTTGATGTGTGAGGCGTCCGCGCGCGAAGATGGGAGACGTAGCCTCTCCATTTCTCTTTCTATGTTCAAGATGATGTATGTACAAGTCACTACAAAGTGCTACCATAGGACTCTTGACTCAGCTTCACTCTGCGGAACGTTTGTCACTTGGTGAAACGGAGCAAGGTTCTCTAATCGTCAATGCGTGACCATAAGAGACAGTTTATAGCATAATGATGAACCAGATATCTGATTAGAATTCCGTTCTTATTGATCCAACCGTTCCTTCCAAATCCGCCTCCCTAGGGTATAAGTATCCACCGATCCACCGGAAATGAGCCAGTCGCTACAGGAAACAAAAATCCATACAAATGAAAGCCAGTCCCTGGCTAAGCAACCTCTCTACTAACCAAGAGAGCATATACTAATCTCTTAAGGCCCTTGTACATACAGAAATGTACTGTGATCGAGATCTCGCGAAAAGCCTACAGCTCATCTCAGTGTATTTAAGCCAGCCCTTGCGCTCTTGTCAGTGCCTCAATTCGCTCCATCTCGTTTTCCTTCCCTTTTCCTTTCTTCCTATGATCCATTGTCGCGGCTCTCTTGCGGGCCTTCGCCTCTTTTCGAAGCTTCACGGCTGCGTTGACATCAATCTTTTCATCGCGTTCTTCTTCAATCACATCATCCGCAGTGTTGTTACCGTCAGAAACCCCATGGCTAGGGTTTAATGCTGAAAGTCTCTTTGCGCTACGCCGTGGAACTGGGGGCATATCATCCTCATATCCACCATCGGAGAAGTCGTCAAAGCTGGATCGGTCTGCGCTTGCATCAACAATGTATCGTCTGGTCTTTGATGGGGGTGGAATGGTGGTATTGTTGCCTTGAGAGATTCGAGGCGCATTGGAGGGCAGGGAAGGATTGGATCTCTGGTGAGGTAGTAACCTGGTGCTGCGTGACTTGCGGTTGTCCACAACTGGCGGCGGAGCGGCGTCATCGTCGATAGGCTCAACAAGACCTGGTAAAGCCAAACCACCCAAGCCGTAGCCGTCTTTGAACAGAAGCTCTTCCTCGCCTGCTCCACGTGGCTGCCGAGGTGGAGTATATGCATCATCGTCGTCTGAGGACAGATAGTCGTCGAGGTTGATCTCATCTGATCTAGTCATGGTTGGTGAACGAACATGTCTGCTACCATGAATGCTCTTTGCTGAGCTCCCACTGTCAGCGGAGGAAAAGTGATGACTTGGGCTGAGGTCTAACGAAGTATTGGCCGTATGGCGAGATGTTGGTCGCGGAAACGGGTTAGAGCTCGTCTCAGATGCAGTACCGGAAGCAGATGACATTGACCAGTGTCGTAGACTGCTTGTTCGTAAAGGAACATATTCGTATATTTCGCTCAGCTTGGGCTTTCCCGCCGAGGACATCAAGCTGCGCGACCGCTGGTAGCCGTATAGGTCCTCACGGTTATTGGTAAGTGAATGCCACCCTGACGCTGTGAGAATCGATGGGTTAGCAACGACACACTCATCTAACACAATAAAAACAACTCACAAGAAGACGGTCTAGAGTGGACTGTATCCCTAGCGAAGCCTTCGAAACTTAAGGCATCAACTCTACCCGTCCCCTCGTCACGCTCCTCGCCTTCGTGTATGCGGTAAGCCAAAAGGGTTGGATTATTGGCAGTCTCCCGGCTTGCAATGGATGATGCAGCAGAAGATTGGCGGGAGTGCATGTTTTGCCTCGCTATATGAGGCTTGGGTGGCGAGGTGTGGGTGTCATTTAAAACTTCTTTGCGAAGGGTATGTACCTCAGTTGACAAACTCCTCCTATGCTCTGATATGCTTCCCTCCCGACTGTGAGAGGGTAAAGACGAGCGCTTCCCCTTTTGTGACGTTACGGCTAAATCTTGTTGAAGATCAGACGACTTATTCGTGATGAAATTTACAGGGTGGGATGCCAAGGGACTTCTTGGAGTCATGTTTAGAGTCGGTCCCTTATCCGCTCTAAGCTGCGATGCAGCTTCAGGCATTGGCGGATGTTGGTCTCTTTTGGGATGGTCGGGATGAGCTGCATTTTGAACCATGAGACCACTATGGAAACTCTTTGCTCGTGTGCGTCCACGGGACATGTTGGCTGTTGCATTTCCATTGCTCAAGGTGTACAGATTCTGTGTATCAAGTCGGAGACCATGTTTCAATTCTTCCGCACTCTTGTGCAAGTCTGGCACTGGTGGTACAGTCTCCCTGAGAAGAAGAGAATGTGGAATATGAGACGACGTCCTTTTAGGGAAAGTATAGTGGCTGGAAGAGTTTAATGACTTTGTTCGAAGACCTGACTCAAGCAAGCCATGCTGTTGGGTATCCATATGCGGCTTGCCACGGGTTCGAAGATCCTTTGTGTTCAGTCGCGCTGAATCGCCTCGTAGCATCTGATGTCGTTGATCGTCTGGTGTCGAAAGGGCGTGAAACGCCTGTAGGTATGACAGTTCGGAGTCAACTCCATTATTAGGGATATTCCGGTCCGCAACATCCTCTCCATAGTCCCGCGCACCAGTAGCTTGAATGCGACCGCGAAAATTGGCCGGTCTGATCTCCGATTGAGCATCGAGAATATCCACGAAGGTCTTGCCCCCGTTACTCTTAAGAGAATCCCTGCGATTTTGAGCGAAGGGAGGATTGACAGGTATAGGTAGTCCTTGAAGCATTTGCTGGGACTCTCGGAAATCTAGAGATTTCCGGCGTGGCCCGGGAGCTGGAGAGTTGGATTTTGACTGGCGACCTGGTGATGATGCTCCTCGACCCCATTCTCTCCTCGCCCGATCTAAGAAACCTTGGCGTTGAGTAGTGGATTGGTTCCCATTTGGGGCGCTATTGGGCCGATGTCCCTCTTCAATATAGCGAGGGACAATAGGGGCAGGTGCTGCTGATTCATAATGGTTGAGGGAAACTTGAGATCGACCCAAACGAGACTGTGACTTGGACAGGTTCTCTAAGACGTTGGGGCCGTTCCCCGCAACTGGGTAAGTTCCTGAGACGGTTAGAATACGTTCATAGCTCTACAAGATGTATCAATGCCTACATACCTCTGACAGGAGGATGTGACGCTGATGTTGCATCATAAGCCTGAGTCTTCATGAGATGGCCATTGTCTCTCTCGGGCTTCCTCGAGAAGATGCTCAAGACACCCATTGCACTGGGTCCTGTTTGCCATCAATCCTAGAAAGGTTCCAGCAGACGACGATACGACAGAACAAGATCGTTTCACCAGCCAGAATAGTGAATCCAGAGGGGCCTGTTCAGTGAGTAGTGAACACAGTCTAAGGAAAGATCGAGTTGGGTTCGAAGTATTAACAGCTTGAACGTTGGGGCCGCCAACGTAAGACAAGACACAAAGAAACAGGGTGAGGCCGAAGACAGCCTGACAGGTTCCGGGAGGACGGTCAAGATATGAGACAGCGGGAAAGACAAGAGATATGGAAACGGAAGGAGCAGGGGGACTTAATACAACCGGGAAACAAGCCGTGTTAAGGCTGGGAAGGAGCTGCCATACGTGCCTACCTCATTTGTATGTAGGCACATTTGTCTATCTTATGCAGCAAAATGGGGAAGGGGGGCCAGAGGGGCAGCTGTCTGTTGCTTAGACGCGCTACTGCGAGGGATGACGGCTTGGTGCTTTTCTGAGGACGGAGCAAAGATGCAAAACAGGGTCGCAACAAGCCCAGAGGTGCGTTTGTCCTCTGTTCCACTGACGCAACCATCAGCGGCGCCGCCATCCTATGCGTGGATTTACACTACTGCATGGTAGAGGACTGCACCGCAAAAGAGTTGAGAACCCGAGGCGCAAGACGGCATTTTAGGTGCATACAGGGGCTGTTACGCTATTGGTCTGTCAGGGGTGGCCCGCGCGAAGAAATGTATGGAGAGACAGGGTACCCCGACCCAGGCAAAGACAGGCCCCAACTGCTGCAGAAGCACGGGCACTGACATGCGGAGCAAGACGTGCAGCCGGAGAGCTGCAAAAACAAGTCACCACGCAAGCCATGGCCCATGGCGCACTTCGCCGGGACGGGGAGACAGGAACATTAATGAGCCACCCTATCAAGAGAGCGGCTGAACATCACGGCATGCAGGTCCAGGCTAGAACGAGGCGGGATGGCTTATGCCCTGAGGGCGAGTTACAACTAGAAGGTTGCGGGATATTGTCTCGGGTGGACAATGAAGGTGCCGTGAGCCGTGGGGATGCTGTTTGCCTTTCATCACAGCGAGATGGCAAGTTGGCAACGAACTTGGGTAGGCAGGGTGGCTGCACACTACCTGGCTAGTCACTCTTCACCTGCACCAGAAGACTTCGACACCTTCGATATGTTGGGGTGTCCTCCGAGACATTCTCCACCAAGGGCTCCTGCCATGAACAGGGCCGTGCGGAGCGTGATGATCTCAAGAGTGATGGGCTGAGAAGAGTACATCCGGAATAACACCTCGACGTGCGAAGCTGGATCGGGCAAGAACAGCCCTAAACTCGGAAGATTTCATATTCTAGAACCTTTTGCAGATCAAGCAAACACAATTGCTGATGGCACAAAAAATTCGAGCCAGACACAGCATATCGTATTGCTTCCTGGGTCGTGTCACCAAATGAGAACGCAAAGTCACTAGCTACTGATAGACACACAAGTGCGATAAAACGGTAGTCCGGCGGCGGGACCACAAAAGCGACGGCTGACTTCTACTTAATTTAAACCAAGATGACATCTACAAACGCTTGCGACCCTTAGGGTAGCATGGTATGACAGCATGCGCCATCGGGAATCGGCTACGGCATTTTACATTGGTGCTTTCTTCACCCAGCATAGCTACTAGAAAGAAACAAACGAAGAGGCAGATATACCAAGGTTATGACAAGGACTCAATGTCCAGATCACCCAGAGCCTGCCACTGCGCCTCATTCTGTGCGACCTCTTTTCGGTGCGCCAACTCGACCTCAGCTGAGTGATCTGCGAGGATGGTCCTGTCTCCCAGCAGTAGCTCACAATCACTAGATTAACGACTAACACCAAGTGGAGCGACTCTTCTGAGGCTGGTGTATTACTGAGTACGGCAATACCCCCTAGTCTAGCTTTAGGCCAGGGGTAATGACACTACCACCCATTAACGCCTTCCAGCAAGCAATCCTGGAGGGCCCCGGTGAAGATCATAATGGCGCCGCGTATTGCCCTGGCCAGGTTCCCCAGCACACGATGCCAACATCTGGACAAGACTCGGCCAAATCGCGAGCTGGAGATAACCAGCTAGAGCAGGTATGGTCCCTGCTCAGAAAAGATCGCCAACCCGTCTCTATCATTGACTGATCGATAGTCTAGTCTTCGCAAGCTTAGACCATCTTCCTCGTCGATCTTTTCAGGAGTATTTTACATGCATGAATCCATACATGAAAAAAGGGCCAGCATGGAGGGTGCGGGACGGGATGCATGAGGGGCCGATGGGAAACAATCAAAAAGTAGGCAGAGAGATGGCGAAATGATGTGGCATCCAGATATCAGCGCATCAAGCATCCACCCACACCTCATCTTGGCTGTCAAAAATTACTCCTGGTTCGGCATGACCTATATTCCCATCGCCCCCAGTCAGTATTTGCCGATATGCCTTCTGCCCTGTTATATTACGCCTGCCGAATATGCAGCATGGTTCATGTCAGGTACGATGCGCTCTCCCAGGATCGGTCTCATCCGTAATGTGACAGTGTGATAGAGTACGATAACAAGACTCGATGGCTAACCAGCCAACTTGCGAGCTTGGTCAAAGCAAAGGATTCAAACTGCCTCCCAAGAACACCCAGAGCGGATCAATGTTGCCTGTTAGGTTAAATCCACCTTTGCAATCCGAGCGTCGTTTGTTCTTTAGTAGGAACGGTCGATGCACTAACATCTTCAGCGGCCGTGCGCAGTCCATTTCGAGCCAACGCTGGCTTCCCACAGAGCCTACCGTGTCAACGAGCGATGCTCCTGCAACCCATTCCGTTTGCATTGACAGTCCATGTGCGCCTGGCCTTTTCCTCATTTATCTAAAAGCGCTGGCGCCGTTGTGTATGTGACGCCCCAGCTCTTGACACATGACAGCGCAAGGACGTGCGAGAGTGAGCCAGTGGGACTTATACGAGCCATCAGACAACTTAAGACTGTGTTCTCATAGGTCACAGTAAGGGACCAGGCAGTCCATGTTCCAGGTTGACACCAAGTCGCTACTTCCCGCCATGCTATCCACTTGTTATGTGATGTTTTCTTATTCCTTTAGACAAGGCGGAATATTGTTTACTTCGGGATGTTCGCTAAGCCCCAAGACTTTTCAGTCAAGTCTAGTTCACAAAGGCACGTTGAAAGGTGTATCAAGCATAGTTATAAGACTTACCATACTGTTTCCATGTAACCCAGTCACTCAAGGAAAGAGCGTTAAGACCTCCCATACTTTGCCCAACGGGTCAGGAAGGAGCAATGACATATGAATAAAACCAGGAAAGTCAACAAAATGATATGACATGCACTCTGTTCGCGTGAAGTGAACGCCTCTCTCTCCTCAACACCATAAGCATTTTACCGACCTAGGTAGTATTTCACAAGATATCCTATGCTTCATCCCTACCGCGATACCCAAGATATCCTAGTCTACATCTCAGCCTTTCTCTTCCGTCTTATCCCTCAATCAAAATGCCTTCTTCGCAAACATCGAAGACCTCGAAAGAGCTCGTCCAGCACGAAGACAAGCCAGAACAACCAGCCATACAGCCAGAAGAGGACGCCTCGAAAGCTGCAAAAATCAGCAATCCACAAGCACAAGAGCCGCATTCTCTAGACAATGTACTCAACGAAGTTGACCAGGAGTGCCATCATGATTCAGACAAGGAATTAAACGAGTTCATGGAAGGCGAGTCCAGACCACCCCGACGAGCCAGTGCTGCAGAGAAGCGCGGAACGAAGCCCGGCGAGGACCCGGACGTGTATGACCCCAAGCCAGAGGACTTCCGCAGGAAACGGTCAACAACAGAGCCTACTTTTAAGCAAACAAGTAAGCGTAAGGGCTGCGCCCTTGGGATTGGCTTATACTTAGTCCTGGAGCAGAGTTGCTAACACAACACTGCTTCAGAGACCAACCTCGACAAGAAAATATCCCCGTCTCCCACGCCAAGTGACTCGGCTTGAATGAGCTAGTATGTGAAGAGCTGCGGTATCACTATGGTCAATGGTTGTGCACATCCTGCTTGAGCTTGGTTCACGGCGGCGTCTTTTATGCCATTACGGACAAGTGAATAGTTCAACAACTCCTAGAAGTACATGCGTATATGGTTGAGATAGCCTTATAGCACGCCTACGATATCACTTTCATCCGTCTTGTTTCTCATATGAACTGCGACTTTCAATGTTACCATTCATGCCCAGAACTCCATTATATGCTCCCTATGATGCCGTCACTTTGCCCTACGAGCCTTCTAATCCTATTCCAGGCTTCCAGCCAGAGCAACGCAACTGAAGCGCATGTCTCCGCCCTCCCGCTCCAGAAATTTCAGCGGGCCCAGAGTCAGCGCCTTTTGGCTCAGCACGTCCTCATTACTCTCCAGCTGACCCCTGGCCAGAGGGCCTTTGCGCCGGCCATCGAGCTCCCATAGCGTCCCGTCCTCGGTCTTCACGAAGCACACGTAGTGGAGGTCGACGTCGTCCTCCGCCGCAGGGGCCGCAGTGTCTCCCTGGCTGGCGGCCGAGTGGTGCGCTTTTGAGAGGGCGTTGTTCGTCTCGAGGATCTTGGCCCGTTCTGCCGGCGCGAGAGGAATGGCGCTCTTGATGAGCTTGTCGAGATCAGAGTTCTCCTCTATAGGGCGCAAGATCAGTATCCGCCTCTTTTAACAAGAACGAGGTGTCATTTTATTAGTACTTACCAACATAGCCCCGCGCTGGACCGTTCGCGGTCGCATGTAGCAGGCCCATCAAGCCGCAAGCATTGCGAATCGTTTGGCGGAACCAGAGCACCGGCTCGCCCTCGCCCTTGCCCGTGTACTCGGGCAGCGTCGCATCTTCCGCCAAACGTTGCGATTCGTAGATAGCAGAGACCGGGAAGACAAGAAGCAGTGCTAGAGCCGGGCGCGGGATGAAAGCAAGCATCTCTGGGTCGTCGAGCGAGTAGACATCGTGCAGCTGCAGAGCTGTGCTGAGGCCGAGCGTGTGTAGCAAGGTGCTCATCAGCTCGGGATTCGCCTCGAGGGGAATGAAAGATGTGGCGCCAGCCGGTGGATCTGGATCGGTTGACATCTTGAATCGGTCGTGCTGGTAAAGATAACCTGAAAGTTGAAGATGTTGACCAGAGATGAGAAAGTTGTTGGCTTGCACCGAGCCTGTCGGAAAGCTATGGTGGGGTCATGCTATGATCTCATAAGCTCATGGTCTTCGCCTGCTGCCGTTACGAACCGGTCGAAAGCACCCCGCAATAGCGATAAACATATAGACTGCCCCTGTCAACGCCACCAGCTCGCGAACCCCTTAATATCTAGCCTAGTGTGACAGGTTTGTGATCCCTTGAGTTTGTTTTCTAAAATCTTTGTTACAAGCATTGCCTTTCTACTGTGACATGCTAATTGATCGTTATATCATATTATACATTCTAAAATGTCCGTATCAGGAGTCGGGAAACCAGGTATATACCAACATCCATACTCCAAACCATGCTCAGTGATGTACAGATATCGTTACAAAATAACTCGGTGTCTGCTAGATTGTGACCTAGACTTGAGCCCCAGCTCGCGTCTGATCCTGGTTACTGTCTGTGGAGATGATACCTGAGGTCCTCTCGCTGGACGGAGTAACCGTTTGAGCTTCCTCCGGATCTTCCAGCAAAGGCTCCTCGTGGCCCTCTTCTTGCCAATTTCCGGGGCCTTCATGATGAGGGAGATCGTCGCTGGGGGTTTCTCCATGGAACACCTTCTCTTGCTTGACACGCCTCTGCTCGGCCATCTGTCTTGCTCGGCGAGCGTGCTGCAGTCTCGCCTCCGGAACGAAGTTCAGGTGCTCTAGATAATCATTAATCTTCTCCTCCACCAGTCCTTTGACATGAAATGCAAGATGTTGGCTTTCAAAGATCCCCAAGTATCTGTAGCTCAGCCACAAGTATAGCGTAATAGACTTATGGAGAGCTTCCAGATGGCGCAGGTATAGCGAAGAGCCGCCTGGGAAAGTATCTCGGTCAGCATCCAAGACTTCGAGGTTTATCTCTTCTATGTCCAGTAGATGGCCGCCCGACATGTCGGACACGCATTTAGCAAAAGCCTTCAAAACCTCCTTCTGTCCAAAGTCCCGCAATGTAACAGGGGCAGAGAGAAAGATGCAGCGATCACTGATGCTCATCGGGTAAGGTTGTATGATGTCGGCAACTTCAATCATGTCATCGCTTCTGCAGAAATGGAATTTGCTAGAAATCTTTGCAAGCTCCTTCAGTCGAAGAAGCATGAAGCTCAATGGAGTTTGTGGTGGGAAATATGACGAGAAGCGCTCAATAATGCGCGTTGGTGGAAGTATGCCTGCCGTTTTCAATGGTTCAGCATCGGTCGAGAATGATCGTTGAATGACTTTCAAGTCTTCATCCTCCATAGTGGTCACAAAGCCAGCAGTTCCCCATTTGACTGCTGCAGGTGATCCCGCTGGCGGGGATGTGCCAGCCGATGCCTTCATATCCTGTGTAGCTGTCCTATATCGTCCGGCTCGGCCGCCTATTTGCTTCACCTCAGGTATATGCAAGGTGCGATATTGCATACCGTCATGCTTTGTGGCAGTCTCAAATACCACGCGCTTGATTTCTAGATTCAGACCCATTCCGATGGCATCACTCGCGGCGAGATAGTCGTAGTCATTGTCGGGGTCGTTGAATAGCGCGGCTTGCTGTGCTCTTGTTTCAGGAGGCAGCGAGCCGTAGACGATGGCGCATCTTCGGCCCGTGGCCTTTTCGATGCCAGCTTTCAGGGAATGAAGACCAACCCGGGAAAAAGCAACGACAGCATCGCCCTTCCGCAAATTTCGGAAGTCACCTTGCAGGCTTTCTCGCATAGGTTGCAATGAGCTCAGTCTCTTGTAAGTGTGCACAACACATTTGTCCCCTATTCTAGCACACAATGCTTTGATGAGGTCGACAGATCGTTCTTCTCCACAAACATGGAGCTCTTTGGCCTGGACACCGAGAAATGCTTGAGTCCAAGCCCAGCCACGTTCATCATCTGCAATCATCTGAATCTCGTCTATGACGGCAACATCTACACGTTTGTTCAAAGGTGTCATCTCAACAGTGCAGCTGGAAAAGTAGCTGTCGTCGCCATCGGGAACGCGCTGCTCCTCTCCTGTGATCAAAGCGCAGCGCCGGTTCTTTGCTTGGAATCGAGAGTAGATTTCATGAGCCAAAAGCCTCAGTGGCCCGGCGTATATTCCTGTATTGGACGCCTCCAACGCTTTCAAGGCGTTATAAGTCTTTCCGGAGTTGGTAGGACCCACGTGTAGGTGTACAGTACGTTGCATCATCCTGGTCTCTGGATACCATTCGTATGGGAATCGAAAATCTGCAAGCTTTTGATGCGCGGCGGTGACGGCTGGCGGAAGTCTTGAACGTAGCGCAAAGCTTTGGAATGCCTGCTTCAACTCCCTGGTGAGACCGCTCGCATCTCCACGAATGAATGCATTCCGCAAGTTCCAAAAGAGAGGATTCTCGGTCCTCCCGATTTTGCCCTCAACATTGGCCAGTTCGAAGGCTTCGGCAATCTTTTGCCGGAACAACCGCGCCTCCTTGTCGAGAACATGTTGACTAAGTATGCCGAATGCCAGGAGATTGTCGTTTCCGGGGCCTGACAAGAAGGTCAGGATCTGTTGTAAGCGTCCATCAACCAGACTCTTGAACAAGTTGTACTTTCGGTGCTCTGGTCTCCTCGATCGCCCTTTAAACTTGAATCGCGTCCCATCTTCCAGATCTTGGCGGATTCGACCAAGCTGCAAGTCCTGATACTAAAGAGAAACAATGTTAGTGAAAGACATTCGCAATAGAGTAGAAGCAAGACTGACTGATCTATCGGCTACCCTCCGGAACGCAACTGGCGCCTGGGATTTAGCCCGTTTGCTGATGCGAACAACGCATTGTCTAGGTAACCAGGAGATCCTGAGCAACGTCATGGCGGTGTTCGTTGGGCCGTGGAACCATACTGAGTTCTGTCGAGATGTCTCGAGCCCAGTGATGGTGCGCTGCCGTGGGTGTGTCTGGACGAGAGAGCTAGGTAGGTTTGATATCGAAAAAAAGATTGATGTCAGCTATGATAGGCCCGTCAAATTGCGCCGGACGCCCTGAATGATCCGCTCCGCGGGTACCCCAGAGGGACCGTGGCAGGGATGGCCTACAGGCGGGACAGGGCGGTTTACTCCACCACCAAGACGTTCGTCATCATGCGTTGGCTGAGGTCCTGCATTTGATTGCTTTCGCGGCTACCTGGAACTCGCGAAACACAAGGCCTCTACTCTTCGCCATCTGCGACCAGAGCTTGTCTCAACGATCACTCAATTACATCAACTAAAGACGAGAAGTCTTCGAAAGACTAATAGTACATGAGCCCCATCAAAGATGGCCTCCTCATCAACTCCGTCGACGCCGCTGCTCTAGTAAGACACCATCGCAATGGCGATCATGGCCCCCATCATCACAGTCCAGACAAGCTGACCATGCCACCCTACGCAGTGCCTGCATAGCGCATAACACAACAATTCTGACAGAATGCACCACATCTGCCTCATCGCAGACGTCCTCGCTCGCCTCGATTATTCTACCTAAGATCGAGCACAGCACTCCGCAGAAGCTAACCTACACCCATGGCAACAATCACATTCACTACATCTCCGAGGCACCATCCGACCATGGCGAGTATTCCTCCGCCGGCGGCCTGACATTTTTGGTTATTGCGGAGTCCGCCCTTGGCCGCCGCGTGCCCTTCGGCTTCCTGTTCGAGATTCGCAAGCGCTTCTTCGGTAGCTACCCGGCCGACAGCACCGACTTCGCCGACATGCCCAACTACGGCGCCGGTAGCTTCAACGGCGAGCTGAAGAACCTGATGATCGAGTACGGGACCACCAGCCACGGCAAGGACGATGCCATCACTAATGTGCAGCGCGAGATTGATGATGTCCGCGGCATCATGACCCGCAATATCGAAGGCCTGCTGGAGAGAGGCGAGCGCATTGATCTCCTTGTTGACAAGACCGATCGCCTGGGCGGGAGCGCGCGTGAGTTTCGGGTCCGTAGTAGGGGCCTGAAACGCAAGATGTGGTGGAAGAACGTCAAGCTGATGAGCTTGCTCGGACTGGTGCTGGTCCTGATCATCGTCTCGATTATTGTGGCCGTGAAGACATGATGTGAGGAGTACAGACTCCTCTAGTATATCACGGCGTCATGGTTGAGTTTGAGGCTTCAAAACACACAAAATTCTTCGACTTTGTTATTGTATTAGTCCTATCTAGGATTGAGAAAACCGGCGGCTTGTCTTGGAAACACATATATATATCAGACAGCAGCCAGGAAACCTCACCAGACGATATTTCCTTTGTCGATACCCTCGTCTTTCCCCAATTGGCAGTTCTGCTCTCTCTTCACTTAGCAGTTAGGATGATATAAGCAAGCAATTCATCATTGCCTGTTCTCTTTTTCATTTCGCTTGATCTGAGAGTTGTCCCCTTTTAGGCGTAGATCCTCTATTCTGCCTTTCGTAATGCCTGCTACCACTCATTCATACTGAGTCCCGAGTGATTCTCATAACTTTGCAGCTTTTCCGTCTGTCGTTCTCTGAGTATCCTGGTAGACGTATCCATGAGCCACAGGGCTGTGAGGGTTGCTTGGTTGAAGTCCGGCCAACGGTTTTCGTAGTCTTTCTGTGAAGAAGACGGGATGACGGTTTGATGAGTTGTGCAGATGCACTGTATGCCTCTCCCAAGCCGCCTGGAGAGGTGCTATTGTTGTTGCCGGAAATGCGCCGAGAGGAGGGCCCATTGGCCCTTGTGAGTGAGCCATTCGAAGGTTGAGGGGCGTTTGTAGGCTTGGCTGGCAATCCCTCTTTGCGTAATAAGAGAGATGTATGTGTAAGTGTGTGATATGTTTCCTTGTGAATACTTGTAACCTGTAAGTATCGCGGCTGTTGCTTGTCGTCATCTTCACGTGTGGTCGACCTGCATTTAGTGCTCGTAGTAGATACCCCACCATAACGGCAGGCAAAGCCGAGGGTTGCGATTTCGCAGCGAGCTGCTGCCCCAACTAAGTCGTCTAATTGCTATCTAAGCCCATCTCACTTCTGGCTCATAGAGAGCTTCACGACGGTTGCCATTGCGATATGCCCTTGAGCTCATATGTAACCGCATGTCAGCCGGTATATGTCATTGATCCAGTTGAATGCCTAGACTTTATTTACGCTCAAAATCAAATCTATCAAGGCACCGCTTTCCCTCCAAATTGGACCTTCTTTCTGGCCTTTGCCTTTTGCGCCTCCTTTTGCTTGCCTTTCTTGATAGTATCTACTAGAGCCTCGACCTCCTTGGCCTTCTCAGCTTCTTTGTCTTCCTTTTCTTGCTGCTCACGCTCCTTTTTTTGCAGGGCTCTCTTCTGGGCGGCTTGCTTCTCTACTTTCTCGATGAGCTTGTCGGTCGACTCCCAGAGCTTCTTGGCAACTTCGTCGTCTTTCACATCTTTCCTTGCTAGATCGACTTCCATGCATTCTTTAATAAGCTTTCCGCCAGCTCCTCGTCCGAGGTCCTCGCTCATGGCAGCGAACAAGACGGACTGTGCGCCCATAGTTGGACTTTTCAAGAAGAGCCAAGAGAAGAAGTAAAACAGCAGGTAAACGAACAAGCCCCATAGCGAGCCGCGGGTGAGCCATCGCCTCATCCCAGGTGTCCTCGACAGTCCAGGGTCGACAAATACCACACGAGCATTCATGGGTAACTGATCTGGTCTCTTGTATGCATCCAAGTGCTTCTGAAACGCTTGCCCAAAAGTCATCAGCGCCAGCTTGCTGCTTCCGTAGGCGCTTCCTGGTGACCAGTCCTTCTTTTCCAGGGCAACGTGCGCATCCTTGAGAGGAGGCGATGATATGTAGGAGGAGCACGTCGTCATGAGTATGCGTACATCGCGGTCGAACGGTTGTGCTCGGATCGCCGGGCTTAGAATCCCCAGCAGATGGAAGTTTGCTAGGTAGTTGATCATCCACGTACTCTCCACACCCTCTGGCGTCTCTGTCCTCTTCTTGCCCGGCGGCGTGAGCGTCGCCGCGCAGAGTATCACCATGTCCAATCTTCTCGGCGGCGCATTGTCGATCCACTTCGTCGCAAACTGACGGATGCTGTGCAGTGAAGACAAATCGACCTGCTCCGCATAGATCATGTCATTATTGGTCTTCGCCCGCAGATCGTCGATGTATTCAACGAGGAAGTGGTCGGTCGGTGGCAGCTGGGTCAGGAGGATGATCTGGGCGCCCCGTGCTGCGAGATCCAGGACCACCTCTGCGCCAATGCCGGACGTGCCGCCGGTGACCATTACGACCCGGCCGTACATGTTCCTCTCGGTCGTGTTCCTCGCGCCGCTGGTGTACCACTTGACCAGGCCCAAGGCCGCGACGGCGGTGCTAATTTTGAGGAGATGCCATGGCTCCGGAAACCACGCCGGGAGGCCGTACTCGATGGAACCCCGGATGAATTGAAGCGGCATGGTGGCTGCTAGAAGATGAGAGTTGATGTACGTGTATTATACCATCTCTAGGCTAACGGCAAGTTGTTTGTTGTGGGTGGTCGTGTTATTCGGTGAATGTTGTCGACTTTTCCTACATCCCATATTAGATGGTGTGCAGATTCAGGCACCAGAGGACACACTGAGGTGAAGCTCCTACAGGGGGCCATACTAGGGGTGACGCAACGGTGGCGTGGGGCCGTGGCAGTACCTAAGCTTCTTGAGCCTCATCAATCCAGTCACAATCCAGGCACCTCTAAAGGCTTCTAGATTCTCCATATAAACCTCAGCATATTCGAACCTCGAAATGCGCCGCCAGCCAACCTAAAATTTCTGGACAGAGCCTTCACAGGCATGCCAACATGGCATCAGACCACGAAGATGACGACTTTGATGATGTTCCACTTCACCATAAGAAGCCCTTCGGCTCTGGCCTGAAGCGCAAAGAGATCAAGTTCGTGCGCGCCTCTACAGGCGAGCTCAGCACCACAGATCAGGCCCCGAAGATTGCCTCAGGAAAGTCAATAAGCGATTTGTACCTAAACTTAGTGCTTCCGAAGAACCAGAATCAGCCCAAAGCTGAGAGTGAGAGTGTAGCGCCTGAACTCTGCGCAGTATGCAAGTTGCCACTATCGTCGAAGCCTTTGGCCAGAGATGATGGTTCCGGGAGCATCGCAAGCTCACTGTCGCATCACGAAGCCTCGTTGGCCCACCAAGTGTGTCTCACCCACTCGCATCCACCATCGGCTCTGGACCGCACTCGTATGGGTCTGAGGAATCTGGAATCTTACGGCTGGAATCCCGATGGTCGGCAAGGCTTGGGTGCTTCGGGAGAAGGCATCCAATTCCCACTGAAGGTAAAGCCAAAGGATGACACGCTCGGCCTCGGTGTGGTGATACCTAAGGATTTCGAACCCAAGAAAAAGGAAAAGCCACAGAAACTAGATGCGAAGAAAATTCGAAAGATGGCCCAGGAGGACCGAAAGAAGACCGAGAAATTACAGCAGCAGCTCTTTGGCCGCGTTGACTTGGACCGGTACTTGGGAGATGGATCCTGATGCAGCTGAGCCATCAAAGTCTTATCATGATATCTTATTATGCTCTACTCCAAGAAGCGAGTATATGCCTGCTTTTCTCTTCATCAAGCGTGAAGACGGTATAGGGATGAGATGATATGGTGCCTTTCGTCTCCTATTGATAATCCTTACAATAGCATCAGCCATTGTCATTAGATGACTACGAAAGAAGACCGCATCTTGGGGTTAGGACAGCACATTTAGATCGCTTAGAGATACCCATATTCAATTTGGAATCATAACAGAAACATTCACATGAACTTAATATTTTTCTAAAGTGTTCCGTCTACATAGACGTCTAAGCCGGGTACTTGCGTTACTCTCTACTCAGGCACTTCCTGATGAGCCTACAGCCGCTGATTTCTTCGACTTGTCTACATCGTCATCCACCGTCGGCGGCTCGGGGATGTCAACTCCAAGCACTTGATATTGTAGCCCAACATATCCATCACTCACCACCATCACATCGAGTTTCCTTGACTGCCTGTTCTCCGCATCTGGGAGCTTAATGACAGCTCGAGCAGACGGCTTCGACCCAATGCTAACGGTCTTGCCAGCTCCTGCACTCCAGCCAACTCGCTTGACCGCATACACCTCGTCATTTGCAATGTGTCCAACTACTACGAACCAGCCTTCGGTCTGTGGCTTGGGGAACTTGGGAGCATATATTCGTGCTTCGCGTTCCACGACTGGGTTTAGACGCCTCAGGTTGACTGTGATAGACAGTGCCGTGATATCGTCCACCGACACCTTGACATTCGGTAGCATAGAGAGGGCCTTCGTGAAGCGCTGCTGCTGAGAATGTGGAACACCTAAGTCCTTAGCCAGTTTATTCCACCCTCCTTGACCCATGGAGCTGAGCTTATGCAGCGGTGTAGGGTTCTCTAGCTTTTCAAGCCTCTCCTCCATGATCCCTGGCAGGATAGAGACTGCGGGCTCGGTTGGCCATCTAGCAGACTTGATGCTCTGAAGAAGCTGTATCATTTCCAGGGCGCTCGATGAATATCCGAGCTCCGTCAGGACATCAATGGATGCTTGAATGATACGGATCGCCTGGTCAAGCACACTGGTCTGATCACCCACATAATCAGTGATAGGTAGGTTAATACGCGACATGTGTGCCTGCAATAGAAGGAATGCCTTCACATGGGGATCCCACATTGGCAGTCCAAAAGACGTCCCGGGAAAGGCCAGATTTTTGGATAGCTCGGCATTGATGAGATCCTCGTTGTGGCGTACGGGAAGCTCATCGTACTCAGTCGCTCGACACATCCACGACAAGACGTCCAGAAACGACGCCTTCGCCTTCGCGTGACGTACTAGATACCGGATGGTCTTGTGCGAGAGGTAGTAGTAGCTCATAATCTTGCCCAAGGGAGTAGAGTCAACATCGCCATTGGGGTAGACTTCGACACACTTTGATTGTGCGAGCTCTCCAAGGGATTTGTCGACCATCTCGATCATGAAATCATTAGCAAGTTGTTGAGCCGTCATGCTATTGTGCTCTTCTGCCGAAATTTCCAAGCCGTAGTAGGATGGGTTCTTATGTAGTCTTCGGAAGAAGAAAGTCCAAGTAAGGTAATCGAGCGCATCCTGCTTCGTGACAATCGTCTCTGCCGAAACTTCAGCAGCAAGATGGTTGTCAAGCACAGTATGGAGCGAGGATTCCACGGGGAATCCTGTATGAAGAAAGTGTTTGTAGAAGTCTTTCTTCGAGTCTTGGGTAAAGATTCGAGCCACTCCTGAATTGTCAAATTGGGGTCGTCCCGCTCTGCCAAGCATTTGTAGGACATCAGTCAAATCCATGTCTTTATATCCTTCAATTTTGGCGTCATAGAACTGGGTGCCTTTAACGACAACCAGATGAGCTGGTAGGTTAACTCCCCAAGCAAGCGTGCTTGTTGCCACGAGGATTTGTATCTTGTTGTTCAGGAACAGCTCTTCTGCCAGCTGGCGGTCTGACTCTACAAGACCGGCGTGATGAAGACCAATACCAAAGCTTATTGCTTCCTTCAAGGCATCGTCCTTCACCCTAGAAAGATTGAGCTGCAGGTCATCCTCGTCCATATTCAAGAAGCGTCTAGGATTATCTTCCATGCCACAAAAATTGATAAGGCCTTTGGCAGTCAAACGTGTCTGTCTTCGTGACGGGACGAAAACGATGACGGGTTTATTGGGGCTGTGATTCTTGACTGCCAAGAAAGTTGGACGGTTCATAGACTCCATCAGTGGGCAGAAACCTCTGACCTCTGGGAACCCGTCGATATAGAGCTCCAGTGGCACAGGTCGTACAGAGTGTCTAAAGTTGAACAGCCCGTTCTTTACGCCGAGCCAGTTTCCAAGATCCGTGGCGTTGGCACAGGCGGTAGACATTCCCAGAAGTCGTACCGAATTCTTGATTGATGCAGCGATATAATTCATACCTTCGAATCGTCAATAATCCTTCGTGGTGAAGCTTAGGAGAATAACTTACGGGACACAATGATCTCAAGAATTGGGCCACGATCCCCAGCAAGCAGATGAATCTCATCGATGATGACGAGACTAACTTGACGGACGTACCCTCTTGTCTGCCAGCTTCGAGATATACCATCCCACTTCTCAGGTGTAGTGATGATAATGTCTGCGTCTTTGATGGTCCGGGTGTCAGGCGTGTTGTCGCCTGTATTTGTTAGTATGGAATAGTAGAGATCAATAGGGGAACTTACCGGTCAACTCTACAAGTTTGAGTCCCAGAGGCTTTGCTAGGCGAACACCCCAATCCTTGACACGCTCCCGTACCAGAGCCTTCATGGGAGCAATGTAGACGACCTTCGAACCTGGCCGCTCTCTGAAAGCCCACCACATTGCAAGTTCAGCAGCGACAGTCTTGCCACTACCCGTTGGCGAGCCCAGCAAAACATTTTCGGATGTGTGATAGAGAGTATGGAAGATTTGAGTCTGCATCGGATTGAAGAACTGAAAGCGCTGGGCATACAATTCCTCCAGACCGGGGTTCTTCAAAGCAGTGATCGAAAGAGGCTGCAAGTTGAGGAGATCCGTATATACACTCTCCGTATCTGGCCTTATCAGATGCTGAAAGGATACCGGAGTGACAGTCTCAGCTCCTAGCCAGCGATCGGAGACAGCCCGAACATATATCTGGTTTGGCAAAGGATCTGAGAGCGGGATTGTGAAATTGAGCTCATGCTCATCATGTAATTTCCTCCTATTGAGTATGAAAAACTCATGATGATAGATCTCTGAAGTCTCCGAGTTTTCTACCCAGATATAGAAAGATTCAGAAGTGCCATGAACACGGTCGTTCCAGCGGAAGTCAGGGTAGATGAACAGCTTGATTCTGAGGACATCCCGATTCAGTGGTGCTATCTCAGCTTCCACACTTATCGTGGGGAAGTTGTCAATGATCCTTGCAATGTTTTTTCCAGCCCCGTGATTGTGGACAAGACCACCAATCTCAGCTGGTTCCATGTCCCGCATCGATTCAATGCTTAGAGCCTCCTTGGCGTCAAGTTGATTGAGAATGGTTTTGGGCAGATCAAATTGGTGGAGAGGATGTTGATATGGCCAGACTCGCTTCTCAATCGATTTAGCCAAGGTGAGCAAGACGAGGCACTGGTGTCCCCATCGGCGGTTGAGAGCGATCATGTACAATGCCCGGCAGATACGACCAGCTTGTTGAGCCACATAATTGAGATCGTTAGTCAAGGCGAAGTCTTCCGGCTGAGCTTTCGAGATATACGCCTGGAGAAGGATGTTTGTCTTTGTTTGAGGAGTATCGATGCCTCCATCGATCGCACATGGTACGATATTGTCGTTCTCTTTCATTCTCGACAACTCCTTGCTTTCGTTATCACGAGATTGTATGTTGTCAAACTCGCCGCTCATTGCAATCATCTTCAGGATGTCGGCCTCGGTGGCCTGAGGTCGCATCATTGCGTTGAAAATCTCAATGCTGGTGTGGAGAATGTAGTACTGGCTGGCAATGCGTCCGATATCCTTGCTCCTGAGCTCTTCCGTCGCTTCATTGTAGATGATCATCTGGCACTTCTGAAGAGTTCTCGCAGCCTGAATGGCAAGCTGACGACGTCTCTGCACCAGAGTCGGATCCTCGGAGAACTCAACCCAGTCAATCCCATACGCCATTGGGTTTCTCCTCATTCGTACGTAGAGGTAGGAATATCCAATCCATGCCACAGCCTCCGGTATCGATGTGACTGTTCCAAGAGAAATTTCTGCGTTTAGGTTGTCCACTAGCTTCTTCGAGAAGTTAGACTCGATGGGCAACTGGTTTGTCACAGCCGTAAGGTAGTGAGCAAGCTTATCCTGCGTCGTACAAATCATACCGATACCGGTATCCTCGAACTGAGGACGTCCGGCACGACCAAAAATCTGAAGAACATCGAGAATGCCAAGATCGACGAACTTGCCGTCCTGGGCACTGTACACTTGAGTGCCTTTGATTACAACTGCCGCGGCGGGAAGGTTGACACCCCAAGCAAGGGTCGCAGTACAGCATAAAACCTTGATAACTCCCTCTGAAAAGAGTCTCTCCATCATATTACGATCTGATCGAGCCATGCCAGCATGGTGAATTCCCAGACCTTTGGGTACTAAATCTCGAAGTTCCCGGGCCTTGCTTGATTTCATATCTCGTACTGCGGCTTCATATTTCGGATGGAAGCTGGGATCGAACAAGTCCACGCAAACCTCGTCAACGGCTTTTTCATGGAGCATCTTTGCCGTGAGAAGGGTATCTCTTCGAGAGTGTACGAAGACCATGACTTGGTGGTCTTGCTCTAACATCTCTCGGACCTTCTCAAATGCCACTATATCTAAGTTTTCCCTGGACTGTTTGGAGCCGGGCTTGCCTTTGACACCAAGAAAATGCTGCTCTAGTGGAACGGGACGAAAGGATGCATCGAAATAGAATAGGCCCGCATATCGGTTGACTTTGAGGAAATCGGCCACGTCGATGTAATTTGGCAAAGTTGCACTGAGGCCGACAATCCGAATCAGGGACTGTGTGCTCTCCACTTGTCTCTCTGTCCGTGCCACAAGAGACTCAAGGACAGCACCGCGCTCGTCATGAAGCATGTGAACCTCATCAATGATTAGGAGCCGAACCTTTTGGACAAGTTCCGTATCACCCGTTCCCTTTCGGGTCACGACATCCCATTTCTCAGGGGTCGTAACAATTATTTGCGTCTGTACGATTTCCGACTTGGTGAGATGCATGTCTCCGGTGTATTCACGACATTGGACTCCCAACCAGGCCAGACGCTTGCCCAGCTTTTCCGTGATTTCAGCAGCAAGGGCTTTCATAGGGGCCACATAGACAATTTTGAAGTCTTCAATGTCTACTGCAAAATCTGTTGCTAGGTGGTCTTCTGTTGGACTCGGTGTTAAGTATTGGCCGATTGTATGAAGTATAGTCAACATGGCCGCATCAGTTTTACCCTAATCAAGGTCAGTTGAAATTTCTTGTGACAGATTGAGATGGTAAGAAGAAACATACAGCACCAGTGGGAGCGCAAATCAGCATGTTCTCGCTTGTCTTGTATGCTACCGGATAAACCAGGCTTTGCATGCGGTTGAGGGTTTTGTATCCCTTGAACGTCCTGCGACACAGCCCGTCCATGTCTTCGATCTTTACAAGTTGTCGCCCGGGCCCCAGTGTACCAGGTTTGCCAGCTGGTACGAAATATTCTTCATACTTTTCGCGCTCGAATCTTTCACTGCCAGTGGGAAGGGCATATTTCTTGCCAGCATGGCTGAGCGTGTTCCCTGCCTTGTAGTCTGTGTACACGTGCGGGTATACTGGTTCCTTGGCCGTGGCAGGTCCGAGAGCAGCATTCTTGTGCCTGAAATCTTCTCGGCGGAGAGCCTCATCTCTCTCGGCCTTACTTAAGAGTCTGGTCCCAGTAGATTGTCCTGTGGATTGACCATTTGACAAAGATGAGGTGATCTCTTTCCTATGAGAAATAAGTTCAATGATGAAGTCCAGGTCATCAAACCCAACAATGTCGGTGAGGAGCACTTGGAGTTCGTCTTCGGGCTGGGAGGATGCCAGGGCGGCTGTGATCTGATCTTGAAATGCGTCGGCTGACAAGCCATTCTTCCGTCCGGCAATCTCTGAACATCTTGAAACCAGCCATGCTGCACCGTAAGAAGCATCGCCATCAGTGCCATCAGCTAGATCTCCACTGTCAAATCCAAGCTCGTCAAGCTCACTATCTGAGATATAATCCCAGACATCATGACCGCCACTCCCGGAACTGTAGTCATAATCGTCGTCATCATCATCCATGTAACTGTCTCCGTTCGGGGCCTGGGAGGGTAGCTTGAGCTCAGCTATTGCTGCTCTCATGGCTGCGACCTGGGTCCGCCATTGGGCTTCAGCTTCAGCCACGGAAGCAGCCGTCATGATGAAAACCCTAGAATATAGTTCTTAAGCAGCCTTCAAAGGTGAACACACTGCCATAGACTTCCTCTTGGTCTGTACAAGCGTGTGTAACAAGAATCAAGTCACATGAAGCACCTGATTCATCTCTTTTCTGAGGCTCTTCTCAACAAATACACTGAAAAGAGCCAGTGTTCAGTGTGGCAGCAAGTCCCTTAGTCACACGGCGTGGAGGGGCACACAGGCACAATCGGAAGTGGGCTTTGGCGGGACAGGCTCCCACTAACATTAAGCTCATGTGGCTTGCCTCCAGCGCAGGCCCAGGTCTAGTTACGTAGTGGTCCAGGCGCCGAGGGATAGGGAGCCGCTTATTGGATGCCTCTGGGCATTGACGTGCACATGCCACCACCAGATAGAGCAGGCGGGAGCAAGGAGTGCCGGGTCGATATACATCTCCGAGCAACGTGCATCCTTCCAAACTCCCACCTTTTCAGTCGAACAAGAAGCGAACCGCAGACTGCGAACACATCGATTACATCACTGGCGACTTACCATCCCGAGCTCCACAGACCCGATTGATAGCACCCTTCCGAGAGAATAGAATCACAGAGTCGCCACCATGAAGTTGCATTACATCGGCGTGAGTCCCTGCCACCGCCTTCAATCCACTCGCCCTTCCACCACCGGACTAGACCGCCCCTTGGACTGACAGATCTCGCCTCAGATCCTCCGAAACGAGAGCCGACCTGCCCACGAGATAGTAGCTGAGAAGGAACTGAGCGCATACTCTCGATTTACTAAGAACAAGTACGCTTAGACTTCCACGAGGCCCCGCTGTAACAGACAAGTTGGGGGGTCTAGATTCTGATACGGGGTAACAGCTATGGCGAGTTTATGACTCTCTTCGCGAAGACGGTCGCGGAGCGCACAAGGCCCGGCCAGAGGCAGGATGTTGAAGAACAAGGTATGGTTGGGTCTATTTCGGGCATGATCATCTCGGGGGCGACACCTCTGGCAAAGGTTGCCGCCGACATGACTTGAGCCTCAAGTGCGGCATCATTGGAGATCAGCATCAGCATAACTTGGCAGCGAGACTGGAGAACCCCGAGATCGAATCAGAGAGTGTGGTATTATGATTGAAGGTGGGCTGACACTGTATCATAGACTACACCTTCCACGCTTACGGCAGGACCGAAGGCATTTGTGTATGTCCAGGCATTTCAGGCTCCATCATCCAGGAAGACGACGCTAATTAGGGCATCAAGGGCATCATCATCTCAGACCACCAATATCCGGCTTTAGTTGCGCATCAGCTTCTGTCAGTCAACCACTAGGTACCCATGGCTGAAGGTCAATACTGACTTCACGTGCTCTAGATCTAAGGTGGTCGACGAGTTTCTGTCACAGAACCCGAGGTCGTCGTGGGCAACAGGTTCACCAACTGTGGTCATGCCGGAGCTCAAGGACTACATCAACAAGTATCAGGATCCCCACCAAGCAGACTCAATCCTGAAGATTCAAAAGGAGCTTGACGTATGTCGCTTCGTTGATGTTGCTATTTAGGAGCAAGAAATACTAACAGATTATCATAGGAAACCAAGATTGTACTACACAAGACAATCGAGAGCGTCCTGCAGAGAGGTGAGAAGATCGATGACCTAGTCGCCAAGTCAGACGGTCTCAGCGCCCAAAGCAAGATGTTCTATCGTGAGTGTCAAGGCCCCTTAGTACGAGCTGCTATCTAACCCTGTCTGTAGAACAAGCCAAGAAGCAGAACAGCTGCTGCGTAGTCATGTAATTAGGGCGGCGGGTGTCCTCTAGCGGCGTTATTGTGGGATCTCGATTTGCGAGGCATCGCCAAAGTCGAGGCTTTGGTTTAAACTGAATGCGGACGTTTTATCCTATTTTTGCCAAATGGACTTTATATCCAGCTCTGCGTTCACTAGCCCTTGCCGCACATAAAACGGCTTTTTGACGGACGTTTGCCTTAGAGAATAATTCAAGATGACGATCTTTTTACACTCGCCACACACACCCAAAGGCTAGCTGCGGTGAAACATGTTGATGGGACAGATCGAGAGGGTGGGGATGGTGAAACACCCTCATCCCCTTCATCTATGCCCTTATCGGAAAGGTAGCATGAACGAGTCAATGATGCCGTTTCTATAGATGTTGCAAAATGTCCCGTGTGCTCACACTAGCCCTGCAAGGTTTTCATAATACCCATGTTTGAACATATGTCATTGAAAGAGTCTATCTGACTTGCCCATGGAGGTTCAACATCCATTCCGATGCTCCAATTATACCGACCCAATTAGTCCCAAACCGCCCAAGGTATCGCACAAGAGGTATCATTTTGACCAACCGTCAAGGTTCTTCGGCCTAATCTAACAAAAGAGATCATGAAGGTGGCGCGAAGGTCCCAGACCGACAATTTTTTCGCCTGCAATGCCACCCCGGAAAATGTAGAATGTCGTTCTCTAGAAGTAAACACCCATGAAGCAGACCTCGCTCGCTCCAAATCGAACAAGAGAAAAAAAGTGATAAAAGACACTAAGGTGTAGTTGAGTAGAAGATTAATTTGAAGTTCACGTCGGCGATCAAGCAGCCTCGAGGACGATTCGCTCGCTCTTGCGATGTTGCTGGAGCTGTGAATCTAGTGTCTCCCTCGGATGGACAAGAGTCGGCGTAGAAAACTTCGTCTCCTGAATACGCTCATCCCTGGTGAGCTTATTGACGGGGCTCACTCCTGGTTTGTTTGGGCTGGCCATCCTGCCTCGAGCTTGGAGAGAAGATGCATTCGTCTGCAGCGGCCGCAGCAACTGTCTCTGCTGCCGTGAGATGCTGATCTGTCGTGCGATGGAGATCTCGACCGCACTTTTCAGGGCTGCATCGGCCTCATCAATTGCAACATCGACAGATGGTCTCGTGACATGAGTCTGCACGGATGATGCCGAAGAGGGCGATTTCTTCATGCTGCTGGCTGTTGAAGATGGAGCCGAAATCATCTCCCATTCAGGTTCTTGAATAGCCGGGCGGAAAGGCTTAGAAACAATTACTTCTTCCTCTTCCATTTCTGTTGGAGAATCTAGGACCAAGCTTGACTCATTCTGATTGAAATAAAACCCATGGTTTGGTGACTGATTAGTAGCGTCGTCACGACGTCTTGTCTTAGACACGTTACGTTGCTCACTTGGCCGAGGCGTTGGTGCAACCAGTGTCCTTCCTCTGGAGCCCTCCACTCTGGACTGATCGAGATCAAAGCTTGGCTTTGAAGGTGATGGCAGCAATGCTGGTGAGGTATTGGAACGCATGCGAGGAGACAGCTTCCGGGGCGTAGGCGGATTCAGGTGTGTTCGACCAGATGGAGTTGCTGGAAAGAGTGTAAAGGCAGGTGACTTCGTCGGCTGTGGAGAGGTCGCGCGCCGCTGTCTGGTTTTAGATTTGTCCTCCTCCTCATGCATGATTCTATCATTGATGCTTTTCAACTTATCCAGGGTTGCTTGCCGCCTTGCCAAGAGGGACGATGCTGGTTGTGGCTGATTAAGGAGGTTCCCGAACATGACACTATACCGCTCCATCTTGATGTCTGGAATTTCTACATCTAGGAAATTCCGGCTGCTCGAAGACATGGTTGATGGCATAGGCGGGCGTAGTAGGTCTGCTTGGGCTGCTGGCCGGCGCACTGATGGCTGGAGAGGCGTGGGATCTTGCGTCCGCTGACTCCGAGTCTCGACCGCTGGGCTTTCCGCCTTGAATGGTTCTGTATTAGATCGAATTATGATGGGTTTGTATTTAGGCGCCTTGCGGTCTGCAATAGTGTTGCTTCTCGTTGGGGTTCGACTATCTGCAATTCCAGGTGTTCCTGCTGGTGAGGCCATCGCAGAACCCTGTGGGCTGGCATATTCTCTCGGCTCGGCTTGTTTAACAGGCTCTGCATGTTTTCGTCCACCAAATAGCCCGCCAAAGAGCTTCCGTCTGCCTGTCTTCGTCCTCTGCAGGGTTGGTTGCTCTGGTGCCGGTGTAGTCACAACCTCTGGAACCGCAGACAGATTACTACTAGAGGGAACTTGCGGCTGCCAGCTTGTGTAAGACGCTGGAGGATGAGACGGACTGCCCAGCGCCATGCCAATCTGGATCTCGCCTGAAGTCAATGATTCTGGAGTAGCGACCCGGACCGGGACAGAAGCTTGAAACTGAGGCTCTGAGTCTGGGCTATGTACAGGCGTGAGAAGTTGCCCGCGAGCTGGAATATGAAACTGTGCCATTGAAGCCATCTGGCTTCTGATGTACATGTCGTCCCTAGATATCCTCTTGTCGAAGTTCGTCCTTTCCCTGGGGGCTTTGCTGGTGAAGAACATATCGTCCTTAGACATCCTCCTATCGAATTTAGACGACGGCGCCGAGGCCTTTGGGCCGCCGGACGTGCTTGGTCTGGCAGACATGGCGGCGGATGGTGTTTTTGGAGGAGGTGGAGGAGGCAGAGGACGATCGAGGTATGGGTTTCTTCCTCCAGGAAAAATATGATGGGCGGGAATGTCAGGATTATGAAGAAGATGCCTACTAGCCAGTGCTCCTCTGTTTGAAGATTGCAGGGCAGGACCTGATACAGGGCCTGGTCCACCAGCGAAGGAAGCATCAACAGGGCCGTGCGCTGTAAGGCCGTCTGCATGTTGCCCACCACCCTGCAACCCCCTCGCACCAGCAGATCTGGAACTGGGACGGTTGACTGCCATCCTGACCTGCAACTAACTGACCGACCAAACCAACTTAACCTTCCTGGCCTGGTCTTCCTTGGTCCTGGTCCGAATACCTTGGCCGCTAATGCCGGACGCAATACCACTTCGTCCAATGCTTCCGCGGTGGAGGCGGCGAATATGCCCTGGCAGTGCGGGGTTTTGGTTTCGAGATAATGATGCCAGGGAAACAGCGCCAGCATGAGTGGACCGTATGGATCGCAGGAGATAGATCCAAGATGAGAGAGCAATTAACGAGGGAATGGGAGGAGAGCAGCTGGAAGGTCCGCTAGACCAACCAGAACGAAAAAGCCTCCTCTGAGAACACATACGGGAAATGACGCCTTACATATTCTCTTCAGCCTTCAGTTTTGCCTCTGGACATCTGAAGCCGTCACTCGAGCGGGATCATCTCAGAGCCCAGCAGCGAGGCGTTATCGCCCTCTATCTCGTGTGAGTTGTTTGAGATTGATGGGACGGTTATTTTGAGCAGGTTGATCAGCAACAAGGGTAACGGCCCCATAGGTCCCCCCCAGGGGCTCCTGACGAGACAGGGGATGACTACTGAGGATCCTGAACAGGTGGCCTAGGTGGCTTGACGGGTTGTCGCGACCCCTGTCATGGGCTGATGAAGAGGACTGAGGAACACTCCACGATCTGGCGCGATGGCGTTAGCGGGGCCAGTTTGAGGTTTCAAGTCCCGAAGACAAGACGTCAGCCAGCTCGGGTCAGGCGGCCAGCATAATTTACGGACAAGAGCCTCAGATTCGGTAGGCACGCCACCGGAATTGTGTATTTGCGTAATCCGTCGAACAACTCCTAATAGGCTCAATGGCTAGGACAGTTTGGAATCCAGGAAATCGCTCTCGCCTGGTGCTGGATTTCAAATTAGGGCAGCCTTCGGGTCGGCCTGCATATTTCGCCAAAGTAGAGGCACAGGTTCTCGGCACCAGCGAACAGATGTAGAGGTGCAGAAGACTAACTACTCCTTTCGTCAAATGTTCAAACTGTAACGGCCCTAACCAGGAAGCCCCCGGTCACAAATGGCACCTCGGTATTTGCTATCAGGTTCACCGAGTCGAGGATAACTTGCGAGATATACGAGAGCATTTTAATCCACAATAGCCGAAGTCAATTCCAGATATGAGCGTCGTTGAAGAAGTCTTGAGGCTGTAGCCTTAGTGGTCATGCTGGCTAATGACACCATCATACAGGAGGTGAAGATCCATCGATGGCTGACCACTCAGAATGCGGGACTGCATTTGTTGATAAGAGGATCCATGGCAATTCTTTTGATCTTTTTGAACGGCTGGCGACGTCTCAACTTGTGCTGGCTTCATACCATTCCTCTCTGTATCCATTTCGGTTGCAATCTTGGAATTTCCGGGACCCTCGCGCTTCTATTTTCCCGTGCCCGGACGGCTGCCGCATGGGTTGCATTGCCGCGTGTACCTGCGTCCAGCACACCCACAAGCCACCTGCAGCAAATTGCTATCCTCAGGTTCCGCCACACTTTCTGGACTGTCCCCTGCATATGTTTGAGGGATGAGGCTTCGCTAGGATGTGTCTCGCCTCGCAGCTGACAGCTTCACATATAACATAGCTACGTCGAGGATGACGAGAATTGTTGACATCAACAGGATATTACTACCCTTATAGAAGTTGATGGACTTTTTGTAATTAACAGAGTCTTCGTGGCCCCAATGCGTATTGCAAGTCTTATCATTCAGCAATTTCACCCTTAGGGAAACAACGTTCATTGCCATGGTCGAAGGAATACTCTTCAATGTGAAGAAAAACCACCGTGCTCAGCTTTGTTATCACAGCTTGTGTGTTGGCGGTGCCAAGGCGTCGGTTTCATTGTGCCAGAACGGGTATAGGACCCTCCAAGTGTCACGTCTCACGATTGCAAATCGCTCAAACCCTTACCTCCCTGACAGTCTCCTATCTTTTGCCTCACTAGAATGAAGTCTTGCGAGAGACAAAGGAATTGTTCTTCGAAGGGATGAAGGGATGAAGGAGCAACATTTTGCGGGCCAGTGATCGGGTCTGAAGTTGTCCGAAGAGTTTAACCGCTTGAATCTGGCCATTCGCCTTAGCGGCTGGTAAATATGGCGCAAGTCCTTCTCAATATTCCAGAAGAATGATCAGTGTCGACCACGCTCAGGGTTCCTCTGGTTGGGAGATCTCCGTGTGAGCCCCTACTTCTCCTTCTCAGCCATGACGAGCCACAGTTCATGCGATCGCAGATTTCTTGCTTGAGCATTGTATCGTCTAAATAACCGAACTCGGATCATGATCGCTTCGATGGACGTTTATCCATTCGCTCTTATCTATGGATGCGTATCTTGTGGTTCGTGGAAGCAGTGTCTGGGCTTCCAGATCATCTTCCAGACATCTGCCACGTGTGAGACCGGCAGATGTATCCTGGAGTTTAGGGAGGAGGTTAACCTCCTTCTGGTCCGTGGTCATTTATGCCCAGTCTCTCCTCTTATCTATTGATTCTAAAATTGAGAGGAGACCCTTTGACGGCGAGCTGAAAGCTACCATATATTGTTATTAGAAAAATAATAATAATAAAAATAAAAAAAGGGCAGTACATCAATAGATCCTCCCAGCTTCCGCAGCATGTGAATCACTTCAAGAATACTCAGTAATGTGAAGAAACGGTGTGGAGGAACCTAAGTCGCTAACTCACTCTGATCATAACAAGAAACAATCACAACTTTATCATGTAAGGGCAGGTAGATATTTCAAGGATATAATGTTACAATATGCTCTAGACTTATTACAAAAGCAGTAAGCATAGTGAGTACAATGGAAATTTGACAACATATGCCTATCTTCCAGCCACCTACACCTCCGCCGGGGTAATATTTGTTATTTCTGAGTGGAAATCGTGACTTTTCAGACAAGGAAGTGGCGTCCTTTGTCAAGACCAGCGGGGCTATAGAAATAAATAGAATCTTTGAAGCCCCAATCAGGTATTCTCAACCCTGGTTTCTGGTATGCTCAACTCGCTGGAATAATGTTTTATTACCCTGGCGGAGGTGTTATGTTAAGGGATCGATTCCCAACTAGCTTTATAAGACAGCCAGCGGAAAGCCTGTCGACTCAGAGCGTTATGGTTTGAATAACCCCACCATATCACGTCAATAGCGGGGCAGTCAGGTTTCTTGAGCGGCCGAAACACGGTCGCATAATAACAATCATGCTGTGGCCTGATATGGTATTGCTGTTGCCTTGGTGGGCGGGTGAGATACAATCTTTTTTATCGAATAGCTAAAAATGAGTAAACATGTATCCTGAAGCCTGCATAGCGAGAACTATCAAAAGATGGCATCACCTTGTTGGAAAGCGAGATAGTTGTTACCTGGAGAACGTGCAAATTGTGTTGTAGATCCTGGCTACCCGACATGGGATGGAGATGCCGGTCTAACACTAATGTGCCTTAACGCGCAGCTAGTTCGTTATGTACTTATCTCAATTTTATCTCGCTTGCGGTAAAGAAATCCGTTGACCGTGCTCAGGCGGCGGCGGGATCCAAGAGAAGCATCCACCTATCCACTTACTCGCCCAACCCGACCAAACAGCTTCTCCTTTGACGATCTCCCACCTTCTCCCCCTCCTAAAAATAATAAACAAAAACTCGAGAACCGAAACTTGCTATAATCGTCCTATTCAGCTTCTTTTGTCACAGAACTCGATCAGAATAACTCGTCGCAATGTCGTGGCAAGGTTTGTCATTCCCCTCTGCTTGCTACATCATGACCCCACCCCACTACCCGTTGTCGTCGTCGTCGGGAAGGAGATGAAGCTAATTGTGTCACAGCTTATGTTGACTCCAGGTAACGACACATCACAACCGCAAGGCTCGATCAACATGGACGCTAGACTAACTCTTGTTCGCAAAGCCTCGTCGGCACCGGCCACATTGACAAGGCCGCCATCATCAGCGCTGCCGGCGACAGCACCTGGGCCTCATCCGCCGGCTTCACGGTAATACCCCGCCATATCCTCCTCGCCCTCCTGCGGCGTCCGTTGATAAAAGATGTTGGATCACATGGAATGGTCTCGGAGGCTTGCAGGAGAGATTCTATACGTTGCACGCTAGATCACTGACCGACTGTCTCCGTAGCTCCAACCGGCCGAGATGAAGAACCTCGTCAACATCCTGAACAGCACTGGTGATGCCGTCGACAAGGCTCACGCCGAGGGAATTCACGTTGCTGGAGAGCGGTATGTCGTCACCCGCATTGAGGAGCGGAGTGTCTACGCACGACAGGTACGGATACAGTCCCGCACTGGTTTCTTTGAATGCTGCCTGACTGGGAGTGCTGACGAGGTTTTGTTCCTCTTGAACAGGGTAAGACCGGTATCGCTGTCGTCAAGACGAAGCAGGCCATCTTGGTGGGACACTACGGCGAGAACGTGCAAGCCGGAAATGCAACACAGACCGTCGAGGCGCTGGCAGACTACCTCATCAAGGTCGGCTACTAGAGACTGGGCGCAGATTCCGCCGGCCTGGGATAAGATTGTACACGTTCGAGGACGTCAGCGGAGGCTACGAGGTTACGAATATTGCAAGTGAAAGAATATGGCAAGCCCATACGAGCCCATAGAACGGCGTGGAGGACTCCTTTTTTTGGTAGCAGGAATTTTCCTTTTCGCTTGGCAGAGAGCTCACGCTCAGCAAGCATTCTGCATAGGCAAGCTATAAATGGTCGTTACGTGACGACAATTCCCGCGCATCTCATCTTGTTGTTCCTGAGAACTTGCACTCTTCTATCATTATCCTTAGGACCTATCTGTCCCTATCGTGACGCCGGAAGGTTCAGCATATTCCCCATTCAAGGCTGTAATAATTTTACATGATGGCCGCGGTCCCCGGGCTGGATGTGGGTATCTGTTGCCAACAACGCCAAATGCCTGAGACCGTCTATTCCTCGTACATATCATCACGCCGCGGGTCGCGGCGAAAACCAACCGGCTCTCTATGAAACCAACTTGGCCCGTTCTACTGTAAACTCCTCGGACGAAGGCGATTCATACAGGAAGCTCAGCATTCCGTCGTCCCAGCCCAGACCGGTCGACAGCAACACCAATATAGGGGCCAATCACGGGAATGTTTCGTGCAAACCCAGCAATGGTACCCAGGAAATCGCCAAAGAGGATCACGATTCCGTATAGCTCGACGCAGAATCCTATAAGGGGCCACCTCAGGAGGATAAGAATTAGGCCGGCGAAGAAGGCTGCCGTGCCCTTTGCTTTCTGTTTCCTTGCGAAGAAAAGGAGGGTTTTCTGCGGTCCGATAATTATCGTCAGGCCGATTAGGAAGAGAATCTGGGTGCTCGGTCAGTTGCCATGCAAGGCATCTCTCGAAGTTTTAGTACGCACGTTGCCCATTGCGAGCCTGTTGGACGCATTGTCAGCTCCTATCTACTTGTACAAGGAAAGGGGGTGGACCCGTACATAGCTCTATCGAAGAACAGCATCACGCCTCCGATTAGGAAGAAGCCTCCTGCATTCAGGATTGACGATTAGCCTTGAAAAGGTCGCGGAACGAAGTTGAAGTTCATTTACACACCGCCGGAGCAGAAGGCAACCCCGATTTCTACAAGTTTGTTAGCAGGTTTGAGCCATGTTGAAGGTCGTGTGCTTTGCGCCGAACGCAGATTGCTCTGCGACGCGCGTTGGCTAATCTCGAGACTTACTCTGGGAATCCGATAGCCACATAGACATTTTGGCGACAATGAGTATATAGGGCGAAGGTTCGCGATTGTGGTCTTTTGCGTCTTTGAAGGCTTTCAACAAAGAGGAACTTAAAGTGGTGGTTTTGGACAGCGACCAGATTTAATTATTGGCAAGGTGTTTTCAATAGGGAGCAAATTGGCAATGAGACACGCAGACAGGGGTCTCGATTGTCCTTGCAGCCAAGCATCAAAGTCAGCCGCCCGTGCTTCCCGTCCCTAGAGAACGCGAATCAGGACGGTCCAGAGCGCTGTGATTGGCCCCTGGGGCGACGTTTCCTTAGGGCAGAAGCTTACCTAGGGGACCTGACCAAAATTTTGAGGATCCATTTGCTCTCCATTCCAACACCTGAACCACAATGAGAAGAATGATTGCACGATAGCCTCACGAGAGCGCCACCTAATGCTAGCCAGTGGACTCAGAGGTTGCCTCTCAGCAAGATGAGTGCAGTTTGTCACGATTTTATCAATTATTGAGGGTCAGTTGGATTCAGCAAAGGAACAGCAGGTAGGTATGACGGGTACTTTTCACTTTTTCAAGTTGCCTTCCATTGCCACGACGACCTAGCTCTATGCTACGGTAACTGAGCTTTCGTCCTCTCCATACGGTGCTCGGTGATCAGTCGCTTTCCGGCAGAGAACAAAGGGATCACGATTAAGCCGGAGCGTCAACTTATCTCCCGCTGCCGAGAGGTTGCGGGTGCATAGTCGAGGTTTGACTTTGTTGGTCTTACACATTCATTGCTCGTGTTGTATAGAGGTGATGTGCGGTCGTGAGACCAAGAATATCCTTTTCCCTATCCGCATCCATACCACAAATCTCCACGAATGCCTAAAGCCGCAAACCCCCTATATCCAGTAACGCCTTGCCTGAATGTACAATAACATTGTCTGAACGTAAAATCGCTCCCATCTTCCGATGCTGAAATCTTACTTCAGCACCGTGTGTGCTCCTCTAGCCTCTAAGAACTGCTCCGCAACGCCCTGAGGGAAGGTTCGGATCATGCCAAAGACCTCCTTGTTGTGATAGCGTAATCTGGTCTTCGGGTCTGTGTATGGTGCCGGCAGGCCAGTGATGTCGCAGTAGCGCTTCATTGGCGCCAACGATGGAGCGCTTTCAATGTTTGTGTACGTCGCACTCGGCGCTGATGACAAGCCGCCACCGTTCGCCGGCCGCAAGCTCTTTTCCAGCACCAGCTTCGAGAGGCTACGCGAGGCCTGGGCGAGGTTTGGCTGGAGGCTCTCGTTGCCCCTGGCCGAAGAGACGGCCGGCGTGCTGGTGCCGCTGGTGGACAGGCCGGAATCATTGGGGTCGTTGGCAGGGGTGACCGCGCCGCTGTCGTCCTGAGGCGTGGCAATCACTGAGGCCTCTTTGCGCGAGGCGTCGCCGAGGATCGTCTTGATGTTCTTGTTGCGTCGCTGGTTGGGCCGCCAATGTGCGTTGCGAAAGGTCTTGTGGATCGAGTGCACATCGAGCTGCTCGATCAGGGCCAAATGCGCCGCCTGCGACTCCTCCTTTGACATGTCTGTGTTCTTTGACATGATTGCGAGATGATAAAGTGAAGACACTCTCGTTTGCGGATTTGGTGCCAAAGTTGGAGAGCTTCGAACGACGAACGTGCTCGAACCAGGATCACCACATGGCTGGGAGGTAGCTATTGTGCCACTCAATACCGCCCACTTAAGGTACGGCTGATGCATGGCGGCTTAGTCCCGGTAGACGCGGTAGATACTTGCTGGAAGCGCGATTCCTGTGGGCGAGCTTTTGGCGGGGTACCGCCGCAACAATAACTGAGACCTTTGAAAATAAAACCAACTCGACAACAACAAGCAGATCAACAATATGGTAAATCAGAGTACCAGCCCTAGGTTGAATTCCCCTGCTAATGTTGTCATCAGGAGAGTCCGCATGAACATCAGCAGAATCTGCTGCTTTCCCGCATCATCACGAACGTGGTATGTTTGGTTTGGTGTTTGTGCCCATCGTGTTTCCAGGCCCCATGTTGACACATTCATGCAGGAGAAACTAAACGAATCGATTGTGGTGATGAACAAGGCACTACAGGTAAGAGACCCCAGTAACACACTTGCGTCCATCTTTAACTTGGTTTCACCATTTCTAGGAGATCAACATTCAAAACATGAACATCGAGTTGGTTGCCCAAATGTTCAAGAACTACCAGTCCAATGTTCTTTTTCATCTTGAGGGTGGGTGTCTGACGATACCTCTCATAGCTCTACGACATACTGACGTGTTACCAACTCAATAGCCACGGACAGTTTGAAGGATCCGTCATAAACCTCCGTCAATGGTGAAGATCAAGAATTATTGGGAGTACGGCATTAGAGGATGATGCCCATTACGACTACGTAGGATTATACCCCTGATGTATAGTGTCGCGCTTTGCAGGTGCTCGTGGCCACGACTCGATTCACGACCATGAACTCCAGCATCAGAAGGATCCGTGTTTGTAGTCCCGGAGTCATCGGGCATCTTGTCGATAGATCACTCTGTTGAAGAGTCAGACTTACACGTGAATAATGCAAGTAACCATTTCATGACCATATCGAGATAAGTTCTTCATGATATCAACGTTTAATTCTATCCACTCTATTGGTTTCCATACCGGTTCTCCCACTATTCATAATTCCTAGCCAACTCTCGCGTAATGAGCTCCGCATGTTCCTAGTCGACCTTCATGAAGTCGTTCATATAATTGCCGTCCTCTGCCATAGTCACGAGACTAGTTCTATCCTGTATTAATTCTTAAACCGTTTCTCCCAATCTCTGTACGCCTGGACCATCTCTCGTGTAATGAGTTTCGCCTCCTGCTGGATCGCGTTCATCATATCATCCATGCCAATAAGGACCTCCTGGGCAGGAGCATCCTTTGTCTTCCTACTTCCGTCCGGATACTTGCGGCGATATGCCGCTATTCCAGCGGCTTGACAGATCCTCATAATCTCGGCACCTGAATGTCCCTCTGTGAGCTCCGCCAGTGCTATAGCGTCAACGTCCATCTTCCTGCGTGCCGCCTCTCCGCGGAAGATAGCCTCACGGGCAGCAGTATTAGGTGGTGACACATAAACCCGTATGTCAAAACGGCCAGCCCGCAATAGCGCTGGATCCAGAGCCTGTGGCCGATTTGTCGCCGCTATCACTAAGACGCCCTGCGTCAACTCGAAGCCCTGCATTTCATTGAGCAGCGTAGTGAGCACATTGAGACCGCTGCCACTAGCAGCCGAGGTATTGCCACCGCCAAAACCTTGCCGTTGCCCGCCTATCGAGTCGATCTCATCAAAGAAGATTATGCTCGGTGCGGCATCCCGCGCGCGTTGAAAGAGACGACGGATCGCTCGCTCGGATTCGCCTACGTACATATTAAGAAGCTCAGCTCCCTTTACAGCGAAGAAGTTGAGCCCAGACTCTGTCGCCAACGCTTGTGCAGCCATGGTCTTGGAGCATCCAGGAGGGCCGTATAGAAGAACTCCCGTGGGTGGATTGCTGACATATTCCTTTAGGGTTTCCTTCGGCTCGGTGGCTAAGACGACAGCAAGCTGGAGAGCCTCCTTGACCTCATCCTGGCCGCCAATGTCATTCCAGTGAACTGGTGGCGGCTTCAGGCTTATATCGTGCATAGCTGCTGGTTGGACATTTGTCAGAGTCTCAGTAAAGTATTCCGCGGGAACATATAAACGTGAGTAATCTTCTGGGCTAACATTGCCATCTTTTCGGAGCCGACGTGACCACCTATTTGTCGAGATCATCACAACTTTTTGCAGATCTGTGCCATTGTATGCGTGAGTCCTTTCACTTAAGCTGCTGAGTAGCTCCTCCTTCTCGGCTGGGTCGATATGAGGATTGAAAGATGAGAGGATAGCCCTGCGACGATCCAGGTCCGGATATGGCAACGTAATAATTGTGCCGAACCGCCCCATCTCGAGCAGCTCAGACGGTATATCTGTTATGTGATCTTGACAGGTAGCGATGACAACTACTTCTGGCAGCTGTTGTTTCTGGACAGCTTCCCTGGATAATGTATCCAACCAACTACCGATGGTTTGAATGACAGCATTGCGGTTACTGCGATCCTTGTCGACGAGCCGTTCGAAGTTGTCGATCATAATGAGACTTGGTCGATGGTCAAATGCCTTTTGGAATGATTCCTGTATAGATGATAGTTTGTCCGCTGGCTGTATTTGATGAACAGTGCCCCATCCAGTCTCGGCAATCTGCTTGAGCAGCATCGTTTTGCCAGTACCACGCCCACCATCGATAATCAGGCCGCATGATATGCTTTCACCTGCGTAAGGAAGTGGCCCTTGAAAGTCAAAAAAGAAATCGTTGATTTCTTCCATTTGTTGCGCAAGTTCGGGCATTACAGCGAGCTGCAAGTGCTTTGGGTGGGATGGGATAGCATCTTGGTGCTGCTCGGCCCCTTTCTGAGCCAAGCGAACCTGCGTTTTGCCGAGATGGAAGCGGGCGTTGCAATTTGGTTGACCGTTGACGGAGACGACTCTGAAATTTCTCGTCTGGTCGCGCTGATATATATTCTTGAGCATCAGCCCGGGGAAGACGTCTTCGGCCACCTTGAGGCAGCCTTCAAGATGCCACTCCCAGTGATGCCGATCACTGGAATCGATCGCTGCCATCTCGGTCGTGACATCTTCGAGTATTACCTCTGTGGCATCAGGAACGGAGGTTCCATTCGAGGAAATGACCTTGACCACATCACCGAGCTTGAGGCTGCATGCTTCCTGAAAGAATTTGCTCATCTGAACGACACCCCGGCCCAACTTGGGATCCTGGGCAACCCAGAGCGTGGCCTCTTTTTGTATAGATTGGCCATCGACAATCTTCTCAATGGAACAGGGCTTCCCGCTTTCGAGCGATCCCGTGAGCTCTAGTATAGCATCTTTGCCCACGTAGACACGGGAGGCGGCCTTGATTGTGCCCCCAGACTTGTCTGAGGGGGTGGGAAGCGGCCGGACCTTGACCTCTACCGACTTCATTCTGAGATTAATATTTTGAGTGACGGAGTGAATTTGAGGTCGATGTCCGTTTGCGAGTCCTCATATTCGAATTATGGAAATTCCTCCCGTCCAGAGCTTTCCCAATTTTATATGCTTGAACGGCCAAGTAACACTGGTGAGTCGGGTATCTTGTATTAAACGATATATAACCATGGGGAAAAGAGTACCTGACAGGGACCACAGTAAACTTTTTTTGGCAGTTAGACCCACACTAGGTAGATACCCGGTTCTTCAGATCGCTGAGCCGCAACTGCCCGTTCCACCACCACCTTTTGACTCTACAGCGCCAGAAGCAACCTCGAATCGAATGTCTCGATTATAGCAGCGATCCGCCTTAATGCACCGGACAGGATTGACGCTATCACGGGCGCAATTCTCGAGATGCGGAACCACATCATGCGTCTATCTCACTGCGCGCCGTGACTATTCTCAGAACCGGGGAAAGTCCAACAGCGCTATTGCAACGCACAACCATACCTCGAAAGGTCCTGCGCGATTGCCGACAAAGAGACGGGGACCCGGCAAGCTCGAGACATCGGATAAGAGACTGGAAGAGCCTTCAATATTTGCACAGCTTTTCGAGAGGAAGCCTACCAGCAATGAGGAACCTTCCCAGCAATTCGATCTCCCCAAGGCGATCTCGCCCGCTCGTCAGGGAAAGAGAGGCGATCCCATAGTACCAGCGACGCATCCTCGACTTCCACATGGAGATGACACCGCTGGAACATCTATATTTGAGCAGCTCTTCCCGGGCGAAGAGTCGACGGCTTCGAAAGACATGACACACAAGCGAAGAGTGACGAGACTCGCTCGCCGTCCAGGCGAGAATGTCCAGGACGACAAAAACAATGCTGCCGAACGAGAATACGTGGATGACTTCTCATCCGAAAATACAATTAGTATCTCAATACGGAATCACTTTCGGAATTGGGCCGTGGAAGAGGGAATATTGCCAGAGACGGCACCCAAAATCCGCGAATATGGCTCCCATTCGACCGTCCTCGTGCTGTCTTCCGTGAGCCCCAATTTGCAGGAGAGTGACTTTCATCGGATCGCTCCACAGGGCCAGCATCTAGAGGGATGGTCGAATGGTCTAATGAAAGGTATGTGGACTCCTCTGAGCTTCAAGTGTCAAGCCACCGTCGCTGATACCATGTAGTCGTCCAAGTCCATGATCCAGCTACGTACCAACCTCTCGGCCAGTACTTTCTCTTCTTTCACTCGAAACCTGCCGCGTTGGACTACAGGGAAAGGGTTAATTATCTACACGCATTATCTAAACGAGCCATGTTCTCCGGACTCGGCAAGTCCGACAGAGGAGGACTGAATTCCCCTTATCCGGAAGCAAGTCCGGAAGATGAGGAGGCCTTGCGGGCCTTCACGCTTGTCCCCCCCTCCGTCGATGTGGATCTCGCCTTACGCCTATGGAACTCTGACTTTGTCCGCGAGGCCTGGGCCAAGTCCAACATCCGAGATATCTTCCAGGAGTCAGGGGCTGGACCTACCACGGAGTGTAAAGTGGTCCTTGCCCTGAGCCGTGGAGGTCTAAGTCAGCATGACTTGCGCCTAGCGATAGAGGAGGACGGCAAGAGTCGCAATCTCGCCTGGAAGCTGCGAGATTCTTCGGATAGCATCATTCCCATCAAGATGCTAGTTTCAGGCGAGCAGGAAAAGGCCCAGCGGCCGAGGGACATTGAACGAGCCGGGGCCTCTCTTGCCGCAGAGAAGGAGGATACTTCTGGTCAGAAAAGTAACGAGGAGACGGAGAAGCTCGCGACGGAGCGATTCCCGCGATACCTCCTGACGTTTGCGAACGCGATAGAGAGTCGACGATTTGCGAGGAATTGGCACAAGCGTACTGTGCATGATGACGTGAACAAATGGACTGTCGAGGCAGAGGCTACGGCTCTGTGGTGAACACAGCCAAATGAAAAGATATCTATCCACATGACGGAACTCGGACTTTGCTGCATTGATATACATACATTTCGTAGACCCTACCCGCTCCGGTTTGCCCCTATCTCCTAGAGTAGAAATCCGTAGGGTCTAATGCAGAGTAACAACGTGAACAAAACAAAAACCGACAGGGACATTGAAGAAAAGATGTATTAGAACCCAGATTTCAAACCAAACTCCTGGACCCCAGTATTTGCATTGCACTGTCCACCCCAGGGGCCTCCTCTGCTCTCTTTCTACGAAGCAACAAGAAACAAGCGTGGGTGATGGGCCTTCTCTTCCTCCTCCAGATCCCTGTGCGTGATATTATGCAGGGCGGGCTGATCCCATCGGCTCTTTACAAACCAGTCTTTATGGACACCGCTTTGGCTGAACCTGTCCGTATCTGAGCTGGTGATTTCCTTCGCTGTCCGATCACCGTCTATAGCCTGTCTTCCTCCCCAGTCGACATCCGCCTATCCTCTAGCAGCACTTGCCTCCACCGCCGGCGCCGCTCTGGCTGCCGACGTTGACGCCCGAGGCGGGCGCCTGCTCGTTCTTGGACGTGTCGATGATGCGCTTCTTGATGTCCGCCGCCAGGCTGTAGAAGGCCTTGTCGATGTTGATGTTGCTCTTCGCCGAGACCTCGAGGAAGGGGATGCCCAGCTCGTCGGCGAGCGCCTGGCCCTGCTCCGTCGTCACCACCCGCTTCTCCTCCCAGTCGCACTTGTTGCCGATCAGGATCTTGTTGACGCCTTCTGTGGCGTGCTGCTCTACGTTTGCGAACCACGTCCGGATGTCTGTGAATTTCGGCGTCAGTACTTCCATTTCAGGTCCTCGTTTTGCCGCTCATCCTTCCCTCCCCGGCGCCTCTCTAGTATATGAGGGAAAACATACTGTTAAATGACCGCTCGTCGGTGACGTCGTACACCAGCAGGATGCCCATCGCACCGCGGTAGTAGGCGGTCGTGATGGTGCGGAAGCGCTCCTGGCCAGCCGTGTCCCAGATCTGCAGCTTCACGCGCTTGCCATCGAGCTCGATGGTCCGGATCTTGAAGTCGATGCCGATGGTTGTGATGAACGACGGGGTGAACGAGTCCTCGCTGAAGCGCAGCAGGCAGCAGGACTTGCCCACGCCCGAGTCGCCGATCAGGAGCAGTTTGATCTGTCGTTGCGAGCCACGAGGGCCATCAGGTCAGCCGGCCGGTCTCATCCAACGAGGTGCAGCACGGGGGAGGCGATATGCCTCATCCCAGGGGGCAAATGAGACCTCGGGATTATAGGACGGAGTTGCCTACCAAAAAGTCATAATTCCTGTTGCTCGCCATGGTAGAAAGCGTAGGCACCGTCTAGGGATGCCGTCGGCGCGGTTCGGATAGATGGTGATGTGTCGAGGTTCGGTGTGAGGAGTAGCAGGCAGGACGGAAATGGCACTAGCTAGATAGCACGCAGAGTATGGGTGGGTAGTGGATGAAGAGCAGACGCTTGCTGAGCTCTTGCGATGCGTTGGGATATCCAGGCGACGTGGTTGTTGCGTATGTCTTCTTTTATTCGCCGTGCGATAGGCTTGCAGGCTGCTCCGGGTTTGAGGCGAGGTGAGGCAAGGCAAAACGTTGTCGAAATGTGTGCAACCCGTGCAGTGCGTTGCGTTGCGTTGCAGTCGCGCTACGTGACGTTGGGACAAGGTTTCGGTTGGCGGTGGTGGTGGTGGTAGTCGGGGGGGCGATTGAGGCGCTGCACACCCCGGGGCCACGGCCACTGAACACGCCGATCCGATCACTGACTGCACCTACGTATTGTCCAGTACCAGTCATTTTACATAGTAGATGTGCCGAATTGAATTACTCGCTCAGCCCTCTAGTGAGCTCTTCAGTTTGATAAGATTCAATAGAAGGAATGACAATCGTTTAAGGCGTTATTTCTAGATTTTGGTACTAGAAAGACCCAAGACTATCGTTGTGAGGTTACGTATTCACTTGCGAGTTACAGTATTTTCGTTCAATGCCTCCCTGGGTTAAAAGCGTTACTCCGAATATACAGACAAGCTCGGGTAGCATGTAATGCATGAGACAGTCACTTTACTCGTTTTCAATTTTATGTCAGCTTAGGCTAGCTAATACATCGCTCATCGAGTTCTGTATATCCTCTAATAGCGCTGCAATCCAAAGATGAGATACCTATTTTACAGACACTCTTCTTGACACTCATTGCAACCATTTAGCATACGCCCACCGGATCCTCTCCAGTGCTCTAACTTGAATCTGGATCCCCTTGACGTTTGCCATGTCATCCAGGTCCTCCAGGAACTCCTTCTCGATCTCCCCAGGCATGAGGCCATGGGCAATCTTCCGGAGCACGTGCACCTCGGAGATGAGCAAGCCGTGGTCCTTGTACGACAAGAGGTTGTTCTGGGATGGAGTCGCCTCAGAGAAGATGCGGTCAATATTGCGGAGGACGCGGATGCTCTTCCCGGCACGCTGGTGACGTCCTCTGCCTTTCCTACCGCCGGCAATGCTGCGCAGGTACTGGAACATTCCGATGGAAACGAGAATTCCAGGTGTCAAGCCGATGAATCCAAAGACAAGTTCTTGGCTCTTCAGGAGCGAGTCGATCCCGCCAATAGCAACTTCTAGGTCGACTTTGGTCTTCTGGACCTGGATTAGCAGTGACCGTATCAGATCACCACGCACCGCGCCGTAGAAGGGTTTTCGCAGGTCTTTCTCGTAGGCGCGGAGCACCGGCGTAACGTCTCCTGCTTTGACCTTGGCTCTGATATCCTCGATCTGTGCATCCGTCAACTTCCCACCTTCGGTCGCGAAGTCGGGCTTCTCCACAGCAAAGTCAACTACCATGCGCTCTAGGCTCTCGCGGTCTGCCTTGAGACTATCCTTGCTCATGATGGCTATTTCACTGTTCGAGTCATGGCGAATTGTGCCGATGACTTTGCGCGTCGGTTCGACAACCCAGTTGAACCAGAAGTCCTTCATTGTGGCGCCAAGGTCTGCGATCCAATTCAGAATCTCCTGCTTCCTGTGGACCAAGATCCGTAGGATAGTCGTTGACGAAAGAAGAAGCACGCCAGCGGGCAGCCAGTATCTGACCAGTCTTGAGGGTCGTCCATTTTCGTCGACAATACGCTTCGTAGCAGCGACATGTTCCGGTATGCCCGTCTGCAACAAGGATAAGAGCCGTCTTGCTAGAACTCCTGGTTTGTTCACTCCACTCGCGTCCTCGACGTGGATAGACAGCTCCGGGTCCTCCTCAACCCCAGCAAAGACTTTATCTTCGAACTCAGACACACCAGCATCAAGAATCAATACGTCTTTCAGTACCATGTCCATCAGAGCCACGCTACGCTCGACAACGCCTTTCCACTCCTGGCTGCTCATGTTGACAGTCGAGTCTCCCTTAGCCTCGTCGTCTGTGTCGAAGCTAAGACCTTCATCGATCAGAACACCAAGACCACTCGCTGTCATCTCACGCAATTTTTTCAGTTGCAGTTGTTTTCGCCTGGCCTGAGAGCGCGCCAATGCTACCGGGGACAGAATCCGCCTCTGCACGTCGGAAAGTGACCGATCGGCAACGCTCTCACGAACGATGGAGTAGAACTGCCGCCATCTCTGGGAGAGGCTTGTTCTTATCCTACCCGAGTCCAAGGCCTCTGCTGGAGACTGTGTCACGCGACGAATGCGCTGACTGCTCTCATGGTAGATATCCTTCGACCAGGCCCACCATCTGAGAGGTGAAGTCTGAACTGCATAAAGACTGCTATTGGTGTAAGAGCTCAGCACGTCATCCCAGTACCATATATCATCGTTCAGAGGGATGATCTGGTCCAAGAGAGTATTCAATATCAGTCCGTAGGTCTGCGTAGTAGCTTTGCCAACTAGGAGCCATTCAATCTCAGACTCGTAGTGGTTCTTAGCTTCCAACGCCTGCGAGTGCTCTGCAGCGTCACCTAGCCCGGACCTGTTTATGAGTTGCTCGATCCGCCATGCTGGCAAGAGAGACTGTGATGCTGAAGTGGTGGAGAGTGTCTTGACTATCCGGAGGAGCTCATTCACCCTTGGCGATGAGAATGCGGCGGCAGCACCAGCATTCCCGTCAGCGTGTGCATCGAAAGTGGCAGCCTCCCTCTCATTTTCACCATCTGGGGCTACCAGGGGGTTCAGAAGGATGCGGTCTATCTGGCCGTCTATTCGGCGTACCTGGCTGTCATGAAGAAAAGAGGACCTGTTAATCGCATGCGCTGGGGAGATGATGGGATGGGTGGCACTAACTCGGCTACGATGGACATGTTTACCATGCAGCTACGGGAGCTATCCCGGGGGCCGGGGCGTATCCGGGTCCAGTTGCAGAAGGGACCGGAGGTATGACGAGCGGCACGGATGGGTGCAGCGGTACTTGGAGCCTCAGGAGAGAGGCAGAAGAGTGCCCAGCTGTGCACGCGTGGATGGTGGCGAGGTCGGGCGGTGGATGGGGGGTTGAGAAGCGTTAGGATCAGGCCATTCGATTTGCACCGGATGGCAGCACAGCCGGGGGGCAACAACCGAGTGTTGACGGATATACGGGCACCAAAGGACTGCACTGTTGGAGTAATTGTGGGTTATCGAGTGACCCGGATGCCCCTATCACCGCTGAGATCCCGAGGGTAAGCAAAGGCGGGCTGCGTAGACTATTGCGTCAGTCCAGTTTTAGGTAAGTGGATGAAGCGACGGAAGGCGCAATGAATCCTCAGGGCAAACGGGTATGATTGCGTGTGAACCGTAGATGCTGTGAATGTAAGTACGTGCACATGTCATCCACAAGCTGGTGGGAGGTTTTGGCATGGTGCCCAGGGCAAAAAAAGTGATGGACAAAAACAATGTCATCATAGGGCCCCGGAGCTTGTTGAGGAACGGCCTCTGACTGGCTGGCAGTGCCGTCTTTGTGCCTGGGAAATGGGAAAGACTAAAACACCACTACGATTGATCGGCTAAGAAAATCGCTTTATCAGATCGGCGATAACATCCAGCAGAGCCAACCTTGAAACTGACCAGAGCAGTATGGATACTGTTAATTCTACATGTTTAATACGTGTGCCATAGTCTAGCTAGCTCATTCCGAGGGTATGTAACCCAAAAGTTATGACTGGACAGAGAGCAACATTCGTCTGTATCGCCGAGGCATTCGGGTTTGGGTTCGGGCTGGTGAAGAGTCGAGTGGAATTCAGTAGTCAATCAGATCCCGCAGAATGGCACGATCTGGATAATCAAGCTCCGGCAGTAACAATGCCTTACCTAAGGCCATTCTGAGGCAGTGACAGTGGGAAACTGAGACAACTTCTGCCCTGTGACAGCCCATCAACGGACCAGACCTCACATGGAACATGGCTCTTCTTCACCGCCCAGCATTTAGTTAGTTGGGTATGCAGTAGGTACATTAGTTAAGGCGAGGTCCACTACGAATGCGAAAAAGGGCCAACCCGAATACGAATAGGGAGGGCAGGCGGGTTTTGGGGCTCAAGAAAAGGTGCTGACCCGCCTGGACGACGAGTTTGCAGTGTGCAGCGCACGTTAACAGCCCAGATCTGGCAGCACGTCTGTCGACCGGTAATTGCCGCTGGGAGAGGTACCTGCTGGCTACGTACCTTGGTAAGGAGAGAGCGGGCTGTGAGTGGCCCGGAAGGCGGAAACGCATGTCAACGCATCTGCCCATCTTCAAATCTTGCCCCCCCATTCTTGTGGTCCTGCCCGCCCATTCGCTGGTCGACCCCCCTTTGCCCCACAATTCCACTTGCGCAGGGGAGGGCCAGGTAAATCGTTCCAGAAAATCAAAACCTCCCTAACCCAAATGTTAAGGTACGCTACCAGCAATCCGCTATGCTACAGTACGCTACGCTACATGCCGGCCTTTATCTATCTCTGCGACCCCGTCCGTCGTCCCCTTAGACCAGACCCCGTCCCAAACACATCTTCTCGTCGACACCGCCCACAGCTTTGTTGAGCGCACCGGAAAGCAGGAGATTTCGGGCCAATTCTCTCGTCTTTCGTGGGGAGTCTTCTCTTATTCCCTCTCTCGCAATTTTCTTTCTTCTTTCGAGGTCGCTGTACCAGTTCGGCGAACCAACCACAAACATGGAGGCAATGTAAGTCTTCTTGCTCAACACTTTCTTCACGCGTCTGCAACCGCAATCCACTGACCATTGGCTCTCCAGCAACTCGACAATCGCCGGCCTGAATACGACCGCCGACTTTTCAAGTGTTTTCGAGGAGGTTTCCAAGTACAATGTTCAACTGAACGTCGTCGAGCGCCTGTGGGCTGTATGTCAAACCCCCTTTCTATCGACTTAATTTTCCAGGCCCTGGCTCTAACACGCAACTCAGGCTTGGTATCTTTGGATGCAAAATGACACACTCGCTACCGGTATCATGAGCTTCGTCATGCACGAGCTCGTATATTTCGGACGCTCTTTGCCGTGGATCATCATCGATGCGATCCCTTTCTTCAACAAATGGAAGCTCCAGAATGTTGGTTTTTGCCCACCCCTACCCGCGCGGCAATGCTCTCTCGCATAACTCGACTAACACCAACATTAGCAAAAAGTCCCTACATGGAAGGAACAGCTCGATTGCGCCGCCCTTGTCCTCCTCCAGCACGTCACCGTTGAGCTGCCCCAGATCTGGCTCTTCCACCCCGTCGCGGCTTGGCTCGGCCTGGAGTATGGCGTGCCCTTCCCCTCGGCCTGGAAGATGGCTTTCCAAGTCGCCGTCTTCTTTGTGATGGAGGACACCTGGCACTACTGGTTCCACCGCGGGCTTCACTACGGCCCTCTGTACCGCGCGATCCACAAGCTGCACCACACATACTCGGCTCCCTTCGGCTTGGCCGCCGAGTACGCGTCTCCGATCGAGGTCATGCTCCTTGCGGCGGGTGTCATCGGGTCGCCCGTCGTCTGGGTGGCTATCACCGGTGATCTCCACCTCATGACCATGTACGTGTGGATTGTCCTCCGACTCTTCCAGGCCATCGACGCCCACAGCGGCTACGACTTCCCCTGGAGCTTGAGGCACTTCCTCCCCTTCTGGGCCGGCGCCGACCACCACGACGTGCACCACGAGAAGTTCATTGGCAACTATGCCTCCAGCTTCAGGTGGTGGGACTACATGCTCGACACCGAGGCCGGTGCCGAGGCCAGCAAGAGACGCCGGGAGAAGAAGCTTGCTGCTATCAAGGCCAGGAAGGCCCAGTAAGTCAGCCAAGTTAGACCGCGTACGGGAACCCGGAACAAGCGGACATACTGTGATACTTTGTGTGAAAGTGTCGCTCCCGCTCCTGATGGCCACTTCCACAGGAGCAACCAAAAGCACCCGACCTTCGGGGTAATGTGAGGAAGAGCATGGGGAGAAGGTCGCTGTACATAGCATCATGACTAAACGACATCCCCTGCATGTCGACAAAGATAGACGGTCACTGGGTAGGCCAGGCGCGCAGCCATCGCAGGGTTTTTGATTCCGGTACATACTCCGACTACCGTCTATCCCTCGTAATATTAGAATAATTACAATATTAATACATGAAATGAGCCGGTTATGTTCTGGTTTTCTTTTGAGTGAGCCGTGAGTCCGTTGAATATTTTCCGTCTGGATGATAGGTATTCCTAGGCGGACTTGTTCTTTGGTGTGCAACAATCCTCTGCAGCAGAGGTCACTTTCCCTGTGAGGTCTTGCATGGCACACGCCTGGTTGGCATCAGCAGATTCCGCCGTCTCCCCGAAGTCTTTCGCAAAGGCATCGCAGATGGCTGCCAGCTCGACGTCTTTAGACGATAGACCCTTGGGGCTATGTGTTGTCCATCTTATGAAAGTCGTGTTGTAAACCTAGCATCCGTCAGCTCGACGTGAAGATACATTGACATTGTGAACGCTGCTTCTGAAGATCCTTCAAACTTGAGGAGAGGGAAGTGAGACAGGCTCAACTCACATTAGACCATTCCGGATGGTGGTTCTTCACTTTGCACTGCAGTGAGACAGCTGTCATGAAGTCCTACATATCTGAAGTATCAGCACCAGCTTTCAAGACGATTGAACAGGAATCCTGATGCTATGGAAGCGGGACCCCTGGGATCAGAGACTCTGCAGGCGCTGCTTCGACTCACCCATGTCTTAGCAAACGTCTTGAACTTGAACGACCGCTCGATCCCCTGCCCGTCTGCCATGAGCGCCCATCGACCTCCAGACACAGAGAGCAAAGGCGACAGCGCCTCTTTGACGGCCGTGGTGTCCGAGCCCTCGGCAAAGCTGGGCTGTGCGGCCATGCTGGACATCCAGCAATGGCTTGTTGAAGCGGCGAATTTACTACTGTGTCGCAGGATTGGTGATGGATTTGCTGCGCGGAGGCGCCCTAGCAGCATGATGGATTCGTGACACAACGCCCACGCGACGATAGGTGAGGGAGTGCGTCTGCTGCTGATGCTGCTGCGTATGCATGAGCTGGTATTGGTCTGTGATACGGAGCTGGCGGCGCGGTGGTTTGCCGGCAGAGCTCGAGAGAGAAGCTCCGACAGCCTCCCCCACCTTGAGCTGAAGAGCGCTCTGCTCAGGTGAGCTTGCTACCATTTTGAATTTTCGGAAGCAACAAATAATGGGCGCTAATTCAATACTCGATAAGTCTAAAATGAAAGAATGATTCTGCTGTTATTGAATTTTTGAACTGCTTTAGTCACATTGAGCCTTTCGACAGCGCTGGCGTTGTGAGCGTTGCTATTAGCATATACAGCGCCCGGGACAAGCATATCAATCCGCCTCACGGAGCTTACGTACAGATACAGGCGGCAGGGCTGGCTTAAGCTTCACAGAGCTTATCACAACTTCTGCAGGCTAATCATAAACCGCGTGTCTCCCATGTCATACAGCAGCGGAGGGTGCCAATGTAGGTACTATACAGCGGTCCCGCTCCCCTCATGTGGTATAGGCAGGTCAGGTACAATGTAAAGATAGACACCGAGTTCCCCTCTCCCCGCGCGGATCCTAGGAGCCTCGGAGCTGCACTAGGATTTCGCACGTTATGCCTGCTTTGGAAGGTTCCAACAGCGGCAAGGAGTCGTTGGAAGCCGATTTATGTTGTCTGGATAAGCTCTATTGACTCTCTTCTTCATATAAATCATCAATCGTTGTCCAACTACTGTCTGAACTGCGGCTTTACATTTATAACAGACGTTCTTGAGTATTGGGAAAAACCGAGCACAAGCTCCTTTGAAAACCGAGCCGGTACCCAATTGGTATTGTAACACAAGGCTTTATAATCCGGGCGCAGAGTGTAGATTGTTAACGTATCCATTGATCCAGAACATCCAGGTCTTTATGTTGTAGAGCATTGAGGAGTGTCCAAGAGAAAATGAGAATTCCTCACAGACCTTCGCAGACGCCACTAGCGACAGCTCCCATGGCTTCTCAGCCATCATGGACTCAAGATGAGAAGTCGTATGGTGTCCGTTCTGAAGTCGTGATCCCTGGCCGAGGAGAGCCAGTCTCAGACGGCGCCATAGTTGTCGAGGATGGCAAGATTCAGTGGGTTGGTGAATACTCCAAGTTGCCAGACAAGTTCTCGGCTGTGTCCTTCACTAAGTTACCAGGGGCTATCATGCCGGGTATGTGGTAAGTCACCTTACGCTCCGCTTATCACGGCGACATCTATCATATTTTGAGTGCCCAAAATATGCATTTCATTGAGATCGAGACTTAAAGAAAGACTTTCTCATCACCAATCTCTTTCTGGTTCTGAAGCGACCTAAATCGAAATTTGCTAATTGCAAACTGAAGGGATGTCCATACACACTTCATGGGAGCTCACGTTGTGTCCGGCCTCAACGAAGGACTACGCAGCTTCCTACCGGGCACCGAGACCATGGTTGGAGCCGCTACCGTGGATGACCTGAGAGCCACGCTCATGGCCGGCTTCACATCAGTTAGAGAGCTCGGAGGCTACGCCGGCTACCTCCAGCCCATTGTCGATAAAGGCTTCATCGTCGGCCCGACAGTGTATTCGGCGCTCGCCGTTCTGTCCATCACCGGCGGGCACGGCGATCAGCACGATGCGCCGCTCAACACTGTCCTCGAGGCGTGCCACCATGGCGTGTCAGCGTTCGCCATATGTGACGGCGTCGATGACTGTATCCGGACGGTGCGCAAGACTATTCGGGCCGGCGCCAAAGTGATCAAGGTCTGTTCGACCGGCGGTGTGCTGTCCATTAACGATCAGCCGGAGGACAGCCAGTTCTCGGACGCGGAGCTCGAAGCCATCGTTCAGGAGGCAGCTCGGTCAGGGCGCGTGGTGGCGTCGCATGCTATCGGCAAGAATGGTATCCTGGCAGCACTACGAGCAGGTGTCAAGAGTATCGAGCACGGCAGTAAGCAGCTTTATGTTTCTCCTTTCACCCTTCAAACTCATGCTGGCAGTCTTGAAGTGAAGCCTTAGCTCAAAGTTCCTTCATGGATACGGCTTCAAGACATTCCCTGTTTCCATACTACCCTCGCAAGGATATTCTAACTCGACGTGCTGTAGTGTACCTGGATAAGGAGGTCGCGGATCTAATCAAGGAAAAGAATGCGATCCTCGTTCCCACGCGACACATTGTCGAGTCGCTCGCAGCAGATCCGTCAGAGCTGCCCCCATCTCAGTATAAGAAGCTCATGCGGATGCTCGAGCTCTCACGCGAGAGCTACAAGTTTGCGGTCAAGGAAGGAGTGCGCATTGCACTCGGTACGGACACACTGAGTAGTGACCGGAAGAACAGGCTCGCCCACGGCAAGAATGCAATGGAGCTTCACTGGATGGTGGTCGCGGGCTTGACGCCGCTGCAGGCGATCGAGGCGGCGACGGCGACGCCCCCCGAGACGCTGGGGCCGCAGGGCCCAAAGGCAGGCCAGCTCAAGGCGGGTTTCGACGCAGACTTCATTGCGGTGGCTAGCAATCCGCTGGATGACATTGACGTGTTGACTGAGCCGGATAACATTACACATGTGTGGAAGGGCGGCAAGATCTACAAGTCGTCATAGTAGCTTTTCATTTGATGAGGAATCATGCACCATAGGGCGAGCAGTACTCCTCCGCCAGGGTAATAAATGTTAGCTCGGCAAGGGTACCACTACATCCTCAACAAGGGGTTGTTATCTGTGTAGAAGTGATAGACCCATTGTAATAAGCGGAATATTCGAGAGCTTGATCAGTATCACGACTCTTAACATTGAGTATCTTCACCTTTCAAGGATTAACGTTATTACCCTGGCGTAGGAGGAGATACACACAGATCACATAATCTATTGGCCAACCTGATCACAAATGTCGGACTAATCAAATGATCCAACCTCCTGTCGGCGACGACGCCGAGGGCTAACTTAGCACCGCCGGGTAGGGAAGTGATGGTCTAGCGCAACAGCGAAACTGTCCCGTATCTGCAAACGATCACTCAGCCTTTCGAATCAAGAATTACTTCTTTCGACAAGATAGCCTTTTGAAATACCCCAGAATACCATTAATATCCCGTCGGGGCTGCCGTAACAAGGGAGGCGTTGCATCTCGAGCCGTGCACGGGCCCGCACTCAGGGGCCCACGGTCCTGCATATTGGATGCATCCCAGGATAGTAGGTCCGCTGTCAACTATTGGAGTACATGGTTTTGAAGGCTTGTTGGACTTAGTAAGGATGGCGTCTTCTTGAGCTGAACTACAGCAATTAGTGTTGATCTCTGGCCATGTCATATTGACCATATGCCCCTTGGGGCAAAAGACTACATTTGCATCCCTGTTGTGAATACTGAGGCGTTTCTTGGCGGCTTGAACAGCCTCGCCGAAAAGACTCGGCTGAAATGATGAAGTGTTGAAGGGATTTCGTATGGGCTATCTTCAAGGCTCCATCAATTTCCTCTACCCGCGATTTGCGTAACCTTCACGTTTTGTAACAGACGGCCGCATCGTCATCGGTGAAGCAGGCGGCCGACAAGCGGTGCAACGGCCGCCACGACGGGGAGGAATAAACGGCGACTGCGGTAGGAGTTCGATTCTGAAGAGGTCTGCCGGGGGGGCAGCACTTCGTGTACGGTGTCTCGCCGATAGAGGCGGCGGGATGTCTATACGAAATCAACTATATGCGCCACAAGTATTCCTGCCGTTTATAGCAAAACGATTTGTGATAGACAATGTGCAGATCCATTTCAGCAGCCTTTTCAGATGCCATGTAGTTGTGCTCATGATTGTAAAGATATGAGTCAGGCAAAGCAGCCGGCGGAGTTCGTGCGGGATGTCCGCAGATGGTCGTGAATCCTCTCAGCCCCTGACCCCGTGCCATCTCAAATCTGCGCTGTCCTAGGGTTCGGTGAATGTCGTGACATGCGGAGGGTATGTACTTCGACGATACTGGCCCGAATTCGGTATACGAAGTATGCATGCTCTGATATCGCCGATGAAGCTATATTTCGTGGCAATGTCTCACGCCTTGCCACTTAATAAGTCACAAGGGCCAAACAGCCGTTGCAATTGCCTCTTGTCGTCTTCCATGCCCTAAAACCGCAGATACATCGGTAATATCGTATGTTTCGGCGTTTCTTTGTGTGTAACACCGTATAATCTTGACATACGCCACGAGGACTTCCACTAGTCTTCGACGTCAGGAACGCCTTCTTTGAAACGCAATCTCAAGCTGCTGAGTGAGCACCGCATCTAGAATGAGACGAGTGCAATTCAAGAACACGAAAGGATTCAACAGATGCGCGGAACATTGACCCTTATTTCCGTCGGGGAGAGGCGCTTTGATGCTTTGATTGAACCCGTCATTTGATATGCCGCCCGAAGAGGAATATAGATGAGAGCGGCAACATACACGTTTGAAGAAGTGATCTCGAGAAGAATTAGAAAGCATTTCGATAACAGGGATATTAAAAGTATGCAGTTCGTGATAGACGCAAGATGCTCTGTTAAGATTCAGATGTGTGACTGTTGAACCAGCCGCGTAATGGTTCTGACCACCCCGGCCTGGAACCATGTCCTGGGTCCTGGAAAGACTAAATGCATTTAATTTACTCAATATAGCAGATATCTAACATTCAGATTGGTATTATTCAAGTGACTATACAGACCTGGCATTTGTTCATGTGAACTAACCTTTACTATTGAAGATGGTGAAAGAGATATCCTGCGCTTGCGAACCACCTAGACGGTTTATGTGCTTGCAGGCTAGGATGTTAGTTTGGAGATCTGGGGGTAAGTTCACTCCCTTTTCAGGAATTCCAAGAGAAATCTTTGAAAAACAAGAAAGGTATTCCTTAGGGGCTTGGTCTAAATCATGTGGGACAGACCAGACCAGTTCCTCAATTAAGAGCATGCGCGAACCAGTGGACCATGGAGGTGACGCCAAGTGACCAACCGGTGCAGTCTATAACTGTAGCGCAATAGAGGTCATTACGTGGAAGAAGTAATGGTACAGTCAGCAGATATCGTGGCTAGGTCTTGAGCTCAACGCAGTCGTATCGAAAGCCGAACAAAATTATCGGCTTCGTAGATGGCGAGGACCAATCTAGCGGTTTCTGCATCAACCAGCAATCGTCCGCAGTCAGTGCTATAGGTCCGGGTTGAGCTGATATCACGAAGCACCCTAATGCAGCCAAAGCTATGGGAGTCATCCTAATGATACAGTGGAGGCATATATCAGAAAGTATAGGTGGTCCTGCAAGACGGTCTTTGATCATATCTCAATCCTTGGCAACCTCATCGCAAGACCGCCAACAAGCAAATACCTGGCTTAGTGGCTCGGAAGCGGTAGCACCTCACGATAGGATATCAGTTACTGTCCTGCCAATTTCCGGGTGTGAGGTACCAGAGAAAGGAAAGCTTACTAGATACGGGAGCCATGAACATAAGCACTGAACAACTTCGTCCAACGGAGTAAAGCTGTGTGATGTACCGCGGTGCAGACAAGTCGACGCGCCAAACGTAGAGCTCACCTTCATCTAGCGCTGAGCATACAGTATTCCAAAAGGTCAAACACTCTGAGATAGCCTAAGAATCATGGTTGGCCCCCCTGGCGGCCGCGCACATGTTTCATTAGCTGGCGCCAGCAGCAAACGGCCGCGGAAGACTGGCCCCGTCCATGTTTCCTTGGTGCTCCATGCGCGAAGCATACTACCTTGCTCATAGGTCAGCGAAACATACGAACCTGCAGAGTCATCCAAAGGTTGATCTAGGTGTCGTAATGACCAAGTGTGTAATCTTCATTGACCACAAGTTGACTACTGTAGTGCCAACCTCACCATTCACCGGTATGTGGGCTTCGAACCCGGCCGTGGCCCGACACAAGTCAGTATCCACAAGCGGCCTTCAAGGGAGTGTCCAATAACTTCCGTAACTCCGGTCCCTGTCAGTGGATCGACTTTTTCTGTGTTTAAGCACACCGGGTCGGGTATGTCGCGGGAAGTTACCAGAAGAAGTGCATCAGATCCAGCCGTCTCTCCATTTGCCTAGTTAATGTGAAAGAGACTACCAATCACCACGACATGCTTGTGACCCCCCGGCAAACAGCCTGCCGTGCCCAGAACGAAGGTCCGATGGGCCTTAGTAATGCAGCCAAGGTCTCCGACCTCTCTAATCTCCCGAGCCAGGGAGTGAAGAGTCATTGGAACGACAAGTTTGGAATCCGAGTATCCCACGGAAGAACTCCGGGGCGTCGACAAGCCAAGACTGAGTGGTTCACGTTATGTCAGCGGAGGTGTTGTCAAATCCTGTACTATGCGCCGATGAGTGCGTGGCAATTAAACAGGGCCAGCCAGATATTGCCTCAAGTAGAAAGTGCTGACAGGTGATTCCAACACGGGCACGCGTGAGTGTGACCCCTCCCCCTGCGCGACATGCGAGGTAGGCTACTTCCGCAACATTTCGGACAGGAGACTGCTTTAGTCCCAGCATACCCCAAGGCTGGGTTCCAGCTCTAAGAGCGTATGCCATGTGGAGAAGCTACATCCTGCTGGACTGGTCGACAAAGCTGGACCGCTTCTGAAGGATAAGGCAGACCGTCACCGAATGGGCAGTAATGTCAAGTATTTGCGATATGTCGCCGGACGCCACACTGCTCATCCTGCCCCCGAAGAGATTGCCCGGTCGCTGCGGCCGCTGCTGTGTTTCTGGAAGCGGCGGCGACTTCGGAGGTCGGGCGTCATCCTGTGGTGAGCAGAATGTTGCTCTCGACCAAGAGAGCAGGGCGATTGTTGATTCTATGAGGCGCCTCTCCTATGTGCCTTATGAGCCCATGTTTCGGGAAGACGCAGCTAGGATCTCGCAAATCAAATCCAAGTCCACGTGACGAGAATCGCGGCAGATGAGAAGATGAGTTGTTGTGTATATGCAATATGTCTGCATTTCCTGCCGTCTCAAAGAGTAGTCAGACGGCTGCGACTTCTCCCTCTGGCCTAACCGCCCTTGGTACCTGAGACTGTCCTACGAGATCAGAAACTCCAACCATGATTGTGCAGAACCAGACCTTTACCCGCGCCACGGATCGGTACTCCACGTCTTCCACGGATGATAAGAGAGACGTGGTGCAGTGGAGCTCCGCTGGCGTGGGTGAAGACCAGTGGATCGCATGCAAGCATGCCTCGCTCGGGTGGTTTGTGCAGGCGATGGTATGCTGTATCTGGCTAACCCGCCTGAGGTAGCTTCTTGGTGAGGGAAGACACCGTCGTGCATCTGCCCTTGTGAGTGGAGGTGCTTCACGATCTCTGCAGGTGGTTTACGAGCTGGCGCATCCCATACGTTTTCGGGAAAGTAGCTTGCCTTGCTACAGATGCTAAATTACTTACCAACCTTAGCTAAGGCAGCTAGCTACAGTACCCTACCTACCTCATTAACGATGGAAATATTTCTTTTGGCACTTCTAGCTTCTTAACGGCAGGTCAGGTAGGCTAAGCAGCTAGCAGGGTGCTCATTAATAAGGTAACATACTAAATGATGGATACGCATCCCGAGTAAGGAAGAGGTCAATGTCCAAGTGACCGGGCGCGGAAGTGATGCTAA